TAAATGATATTTCATATTATTAAGAAATTTTCTTTCTAATATACAAAGCAAAAATATATATTAATAAATATAAAATGAAATATATATTGAATAAAATAATTTATTAGATTTTTTATTAGAATCATTTATATTTTTTTCCTTAATATTCGTTCGAAAATTATCAATTCTAATATTAATATTATTTTTTCTAATATTTAGATGATAAAATATTTATTCTTATAAAAATCTTATTTTATAAATAATTGGCCAACACCCGAATATAGAGAATATCAATAATTGAAAATTTATTCAAAATCTGGTCTTATTATAATAATAAATAATACTATTATCATGTATAATAAATAAATTTCAAATTGAACAAAAGTAAATTTAATGAGACGTATTCTAAATAATTAGATGCTCTACCAATAATATGAAGATTCCGATATGTATTTCGCATAATAATATATGATTTAAATCTCAATTATTTTTGTGGTAAACATATTTTTTAAAATCCTCCGCTTCGTCTTGAGAAGAAAATTGTAATTTAGTCCGTAGTTTGTGCTCTTGTAGCTTCACGATTTTGGCAGCCTCTCGTAGCTTCGCCTCAGAAATTTGCCCCCAAGCCATATACCAATTGACAAGCTTTTAGTGTTTGTTCGAGATACTTCGAGAAGTAAAGTTGTCGGCTATAACCCACCAAGATGACTACAGTGCTTAGCACCAGTCCGGCCAGTTCAGCACCTCCCGACATCCGAGCGGCCACGCGAGTTCCCACTTTTTCGTCGACATTAAAGCTTCACTCCTGTCCTGCTCCTGCCCCTTACTACGCTAACACCTCAAGTGAGACCTCTGGAACGGATGGGGCACGCGAATGCAGCGTCGCCATTAGCTATCTTGCTAGGGCCATAGATGCTTCATCTGTGCATGCTGCTGCTGCACTTCAGCGGCTCCCAAGAACAAGATTCATTGTGGAAGCAGCTTCCCACGTTCAGCCATCTTCTTCCTGCACGAAAAGGCATAAACAAGTGAAGGAAAAGACGAACACACATACCGGCTCTTACAGGCTGTCAGAGGTCAGTGCCTCATGAGCAGGACGGGGACGGCGAAATCCAGAGCCCTGGACACCAGGAATGCCAAGCACGCTTTCGAGTTCAAATGCGTGTTCTGAAACTACACAATAAATGCTCCTGCCTTTTGGCGTCGTTCCTGCGACATAAAGGCTTTCGACACTCTGCAAGTGTTTGCAAACTGCACAAAAGGCAGCTGTCCTGATCTCTCTCTCGCATCTCTTCGCCGAGCGCTGGGTCAAACTGGCAGGATGCGAAAACACTGATGTAGAACCAGAAGTCGATCCGAAATCTGGCACCAGTATTTGCCACACATGTGTTCTGACGAGTCCTGAAAACTGACATTGCGGCCTTTTGGAGGAGTGTGAACACGTACGCGGGCCACTTTCTAACGGAACTTCTGTCCTTCGTCAACCAAACGCATAACGCGCGATGCAACGTGCGCACCAACCGGCTGTGCAGCTGCCGAGACAAATCGCAGGATGTCCTTGGAAGAGGTGTACTTCAAAATCATGTCCATAGCCTCCAGAAGCAACTGACCACTATTCATGGCCGATCTCACTCACTCTGCGATGTCATGTAGGTCCACTAGCCAGCAGCTTCTGCCATACCCCTGTCATGACTTGAATGTCGGCTGCTGTCACCTGCACAGATAATCACCCTCCCCGTCGCAAAGCAACCAACCTACCCAGGATGACGAGGCTCCCAGTGCACAGGCGAACCAGTGAGGCTCTGTGTGTTTGAGTATTTGGCGAAGTTCGTGCAATGTCTGCCTTTGTCGACCTGGACCCCCTTGGCGAATACTCGATCGATCGAAATTGGCATTTTGCCTCCTGCAACCGCGACCCGCCATCTGCTCGGTCACGATTGTGCAACCTGGCGAGCGGGCAGGGCTCGGATTGGCTTGGCATGGGCCATCTCAGGTCCCCAACAGGTGCGTCCGGAAACGACTGAGATTCGCACTCGGCCACGAACTTTTTAGCCGTGAAGTCAAAGTCGCTGACCTGACCCGGAAGCTACTCAAGGAACTGCCAACTGTCGTGACCTTCCATCAGAACAGGCGGTATGGGCGGAACAAGGCAGGAGGATAAGCCTTGTGCGGGTGCAACACCATGTCTCAGATTTTTTGTTCGGGTTCTCGATGCTGGCTGTTGCAGCTTGCCACCCCACAACATCAAGTGCATCTCTGCCGGTCCTACATCATGAAAGTGAGAAATGAACTCCTGACCATCAATGACACTAAACAAATTCGTTTTGAAGGGATGCCAGCAATGCATCGGTGTCCCAGCAATCCGCAGCCTTGAGCGGGCCTTCTTGGCCAGCCAGTGCCTCCAAGCAGCGTGTCTCTCGACTGTGGGTAGAAAGCGCCTACGACGTTAGAGCTTCGAACTCGCGCTCCGACCTGCTCGATCAGATCCTCCACGTCTGCCATGGGAACTTTCCCCTTGCCTCCGCTGCAAAGATTCGACTTCAACCGTGGTTGCCGCAAGGCGGCAAGCCTCCTCCTCGCCCTTTTCCTTTGGGACGGTCCCGGTTCTCACGGTCACCCCTGAAGAAGTCGCCTCGGACAGGGCGCCGAAAGAGACCAAGGAAGCACTTTAGAGAGAAGCGGGTGTCGCCCAATTGCGTCTGAGTGGGCTTCAGTATCATGCGTCCGAAACTGCAAAAAGTGCTGCGAACGATACTGTTTGTTTCGGCATAAGCTTGACATGCTTCGCAGACCCACAAACAGTTTTCCCCCTCGAATGGCTGAGATCTATGCTCACAGGCGAGGCTACGGTAGGAATAGTGGAAAGGCTGCTTCGCCTAGGTTTGTTCGATCTTGCAGGATGCCTCACAGTTGCCGGCCTCGTCCCTCGCGTCCTTCCCCCTTGTCGCCCTTCTCGCCCTTCTCACGATCTCCTTTGCCCTTTCCTCCGTGCAGGGCTGTGGTAACAGGTCACCCACTCAAGTCAAGCTCCGGCACCTGTCCTCCGTGTGCCAACCGCACTACGATATGACCGCCCTCAAACGGCCTGTTGTGAAAGCTGAGAGCCTCAAGAGCAATGTCAAGCATTTCATCCGACTCCTGTGGAATGGCATCGCTAAGCCGTTTTAAGGTTGCGGTTGCACTGATGCCGCGGAGCTGCCTTCTGGGCCTGTTCCTCGGTGCGGAAGGTCACGAAGCCGATCCCCTGACACGACATTGCTTCAAGTTGCGTTGTATTGCAGCATCACTTGTCATGAAAAGCATGGTCGTGGCCGCTCGACAAAGAGATAACATGGGGAAACACAGAAAAGACATCAAGACATCTGCAATTACACGACATGCGCTCACAACCTGCAGTAAATACAGCTAGCAGTTTCACGCGAGCACGAATCAAAGAGGTGTAGGTCCATGCAAGAGAACCTGCCACGGCAACCACGGCATAAGTTCAGGCATGCTAACTGCCTGAAACCAAGTGACAACCGTGGCAGTCGCGAAGTCTGTACAGCACTGATCACAAGGAAAGCCACTTCACACATAAATGCCGGGCTTCCTCCGCTCAGGCTTGGTTCTGAAACCGAAACTCATGCAGCGCACACCGGTTGTGAAGCCGGAGTGAATGTGCAGCATCAGAGGGACACGCTGCGTTTTTTTGAAAGAAGACCGGTGGCCTTGGACCCGCCGTCCGGGTTCCGCAAGACCTTCAGCCGCTCAACCTGCGCAGTGGATACTGTTGATCAATACGATTCACGGCGGTGTTCGAGAATTTGGCCTAAGGTGAAATGCCACCGTTGCAAAACCTCCTCACCTCGATGTCTGATATATTTCTCATCAAATTATTTTTTGCATCTGGTTTGCAGCGACTCAACCAAGACAGAAACAAGGGGCTGTAAACGTGGTGGATGCCATCACATGGCAGCATGAACCCTCGGCTCGCACCTCCCCGGCATCCTCGAAGAAGCTCCGGAGATCGTCCTTCCGCAACCAGTGCAGTCCCGCCGTCCCGCCGTCCGACAGCAAGCGTCCATTCTCTCCTCGTGGGCTTCTCCGATGTTTGCCACGAAAACCTGAGACAGGGGATCTCGCAAAGCTGGAGCACCCGGTCCACAAAAAGCCTCTGTGATGACACCACAAGTCGGCCTGCTTTGGGTCCGCTTCTCGAGGCTCCTCACAGAGGTGCGTGGTGAGTTGTCTCTGGGACATGCTGCAGGTCTAGTTACTGAAGTCCATCCAGAAACAACGAACCTAAACGCGACAGCGGTCCTTGGATTTCCCTTTATGAGAATCCTTTCCATCTCTGTCCTTGCCTTTGCCCTTATGTCCTCAGAATTTGAAGCAGGCAGCCGGAGGCACAGCTTCGGCGATTCTTGGACGGGCGGCCGTTGCCGAAGCTGGGGCCAAAGTCAAAGTCTGGCTCTCGGTCCAAACCTCAGTCCGCTCCAACTCTGCAAATCTCTCCGCAGGGTCCCCACATCACAACCTGCCGAGTGACCGAAATCCTTCTCAAAGCCTGACATCAAGTAACGACATCAAAGATTGACGCCTCTGACACCCTACTTCCGAAGCCATGTGATAAATAGCTTTTGGAACAGCAAGCATGGATGGATCGAGGGATGAATGGGCTGCAAGGAAACACCGGCATGGTCTGGTCATTAGTTCAGTACCCGCACGGAGAAGCCGTACACTCTGGTCATCTATCTTTCTTGCTTCTGAGCTCCGTTGGACTTGCCCGGTAGAGCACAGCCGCGATGGTCGCTATGCAGCATGCATGCTGAACCACCGAGTTCGTTCTGTCTAATCGAAGTTGTGCATCCCCGGTCGAGTAGTTCTGCACAGCTGGGGAAGAAGCCACCAGAGGGTCACTCTTCGTGAGCTTTGCGTAGCATTTCTAGAATCATAACGTCTTCCCCACACGCACGGACGCTCGGTAGATTCACCCGGTAGATGTGAAGAGGAACCATGTAGCACAGCGATGAAGGCTTCTTCATTCAGCGCGTGCCTAGACCAAAGTCGCCGAAGCCCTTGTCCCTGTCCTTCGCGTCTCCGCCTGCCCGTATGCTCCATGCCTCTACACTTTCAGTAACTCTTCATTGCGTTGGCCGAACTTGCCCCGACCTAAACCGAAGTCGAAGTCCAGCGTCTCTTTGTGCCCTTTGACTTCATGAGAGCCTGGAACACTTTCGGAGATGAAGACAAGACCCCATTCACAAGCCTGCATCGCCCTCAGCTCCCTTTTGTCATGGGTCAGGCATGTGCTCGTGTGGAGCTTGCTTGTCTGCAGTCTGAGCAATGTGATACAACGCGCAGATCAGAATGACGAGCACTGCCAGGATCTTGATCACATCAGACCTTTCTGCTGAGCAAGCATGCAAGCAGGAATGCCAGGGATTGAAAAATCAGGGAGTCGACGCTCGAAGACGGAACGGCCTGGTGTACTCCCCTTTCCCGTTGGAGTTGACTTAGCAGTCTTTGGCACAACGACTGCGAGCCTTTGATGATGCCGCCAAACGGCATAAACCAGCATGGCAATCACCTCATAGGCAATTCAAGCCCTTTCCTAGCAGTGGTGCTTCACTGCTCTGAGGAGGCATCCAGAGCAACCCACCCAAACACCTCCACAGGATTCATCTTCCTGCCAGAGCAAAAGCAGAAGCGGGCCGGACTGCAGAAGGAATGGTTCGTTGGTCTTCTTGACAGTTACCTGCAGTGGTTTCAAGTGATCTCCATGACGCTTCATGCACTTTCCAAGTCTTGTTCAAGTTGCGGAGCGATCGCGCCTCGCTCCCTCCAACGAGCGGTAATGGTACACGGTGAGGAGCCCGGTCAACGACCACGCCTTCGATGGCTCAGAAAACACGACGCCGCCGCCAAGGCCCGTAGCATTGCGGACGGGACGGACCATGAAATATCTTCGGGGATTTGATACTTGCAGGCCTTTTCCACGGGTCTAAGCAGAGACTTTGGTGTGCACGGGCAAGCTAGGATGAGGGGGTATGCCTGTGTTGGTTCTCACACAGAGACTTCATCAGACACTTTTTCCTGTTCCCGCTGAGGCTGCCACCAGCAAGATGAAGAAGTATCGTCGCGGGCTGGTGGCTATCATCCTGGGAATCGCTGCGTGACTCTCTGCTCTTGGCTTCTTCAGCTTCGGATTGGACTGGAACGGCAGATCTAAATGTGTCCAGGTGAAGTCGCCTTTTGTTCGTGTAGGTTCAGGCATGGCCTTCCGCACGTTGCCTGTAAAAGCCACATAATGTAACAGAGTATGGTCTAAGCCTATGCCTCCATCGGGCTTGCCTGTTTGACTTGTCGTTGGGACAAGGCTGTCTAGCGCTCTCCTCTTCCCTGCCCAAAAACCCCACTCGCCCTGGGAAGGTAATGGCAGATCTGAGGCTGCCGACTCCAGGCTTTCATCCTGCAGTTCCGGGCTGCGCATCTGCGCCGCTTCCGATAGACCCACATCCCCGAGCCTTGACGTCCACGTCGACTTGCTGACTCGTGAAGAGGCTGCCTTGGAGCAGACACGGGACAAGCTGTTCTCGCAACATATATTCGGAAGGTCGGCCTAGATTAGTAGTCTGTCGAAGTGAAAACCCATGAAAGCTCGGCACAACATCTCATGAAGTAAGCATGCCCCTCCAACACAGTCCATCCTTCGTATTCCGGACCCCGAGGTCAACTGCGAAAGAACGGCAAGCGTAGGGCTCGACACCACATGCCCGGATCTTGGCTGTCTCCAGTCTGTGCCCGTTTAGGAGCTCCACTCCTCTACCGGAGTGCTGCGAGACTGCTGCGTTTACTTAACCCACCTCCCCTGCCTCCGCCTGAAAGTGAACTGGTCACTATCTTTCTGATTTTCTCACCTGCTTGCTTGCTTGCGAGGGGCTTGGGGGAGCTACCCTGGCCCCAAGGCCTACCCCTGCGGTCTGCGTCGGTTCGAGGATCTGCCCCTTTTCGTTTGGTGCGTGCGTTCCCCTGAATGAGCCTGTGTGACCCCGCCCCGAAGATCACTCAGGTCATCCGAGCTCATCTCACAGAAGGGACTACTTTTGGGGTGACCGTCGACGTTTGACAGCAAAGTGCTCCAGGGAAGAAGTAGGTGCCCAAACTAAAGCTCACACTGAGTGCGGTCGACTGTCCCCGGTTTGCCTGAAACGAGCTCCACTCCCTCCGTCTCGAGGTGAAAAAACTTCGGCACTTAACCCTCAACCCCACCTGACCTGCCCCCCACTCACACCGAACAGAACCTTGCGTGCGCAACACTGCCTGTTCCTGCCCACCCCCACCCTGATTTTGGCTGCCCCGACTGCTGGAGAGCCCGAAATTCCTTGGACAAAGCAACACCGGAACATCAACAGCGAAGCCTGATCAGAAAACCAAAGAATTCAACCAGGCTCTGGCAGGTGCGCAGCTCGGCCTCCAGCCCCCTTGATCTCCTCGACCCTCCAACACGAAACACGAACAGAGCTCAGCTAATCGTCATTGTCGAAGGAGCTGCGGCTCGTGACGGTCCCGGCCCTCACTGCCACCCACTCTCCGCATCAGGTGGGCTTCGGCTGAATCGTGGCTCCAGTGGCCGTCCCTTCACTGGGTCACTATGTGGTCCTCCTGAATGTAGACCCTGATGACCCCCTTGTAGCATCTGTTGAGTTCTGCATCGCAGAGTTGGGCACTCATCTCTGTTAGCCCCCAAGACATGCTGTTCCACCGCACCACCAGGTTGAGCGCTTGCGCGTGGGCTGCCCGAAGAGACTGTCGAGTGCGTGTGGGAGGAGCACTGACTTGAGCGTCCAGCAGCCATCGGGCGTTCGGGTAGCCTCTCTGCGGCGTTGTTAGTCTTTGTTCATGTCCCCCCTGCAGCTACGCCGATGACGTCCGCTGCATGAACCTCCCCTACGTATGGAGCTTCGCCCGTAAGGGTTTCCATCGCCCCGCAAAGCTGCGGCGTAAGTCTTGCGGGTCGGTGAGCTCGAGGTTGTGGAAATCCTGGAGTTGGTACTTCATGGTCAAGGCCGCGTCGGCGTCGTCAACCCCACAAGGAGTCTGTGCCAGTGAGAGCTACGCTCCGCTAAGCAAGCACAGGACGGTGCCGGCTCGGCCAACGACAAGGTCCAGTCCAAGTGCAAAGGCAAGGCCAAGGGCAGGGGCAAGCAAGGCAGCGGGCGCCGCGGTGCTGGACGCGGACACTGATTGCGACCACGGTGTGGCTGATGGATGGATTTCTCGCGGGTCTCTGGATAGATACCGCCAGTATTTCGGTGCCATGAGAGTTCCTTTTGCGATGGCCTACAGGATCGAAAAAGAGGGTTGCGCAGGGTGTGCACAACGCAGGTCTTGTTTATTGCTTGAATATCCGCTGACATGCTTCATTGTTCACCGGACCGTTGGGAGCTTGCTCCCGTTTGCGCTTGAGTGTGGGCCAGTCCCGATAAGGTGTGTTGAGACCGACGCGCCCCTAGTCAGGAGGTTTCAGTAAGACTGATGGTTCCGAAGGACCGGGCTACCACCGTCGTGCACCACTACTACTACTACGACTACTACTACTACTACTACTACTACTCCGCAGTAGTGAGCATCTTGAACCCCTCAGCCACGAAGTGATCGAGCTTTGGGAGGTCTTCATAGGCCCCGATTTCGCATCATCGTGGAGGAGGGTCTGCTGAACGACTCTCCCATACTCCACCCAAAGCAGCTGCCACGGCCTGATCTGAGCTTCCAGCACACTGCCTCCCCTCTCTGACATTGTCCCACGTTGGTACCCCTGTGCCATCTTTTCTCTCTCCTCTCTCCCTTTCTTGCTGTTGGGTGCAGAGCTGTTGTCGTAGCCTCAGGCCTTGGGGCTTGGCTGTACGCAAAAGGAAACATCCTCAGCTCAGGTGTATGACAGCAGGTAGCTTTGCTTTGCTTGGGGTTAGAGCCGAGGGCTTTGTTTTGCTTGGGAAAAGCATCGAAGGCAGCCCCCTCGACCCGCGCTCCAGGCGCTTCCCCTTCCACCATTTTGGTAGAGGGCCCTCGGCTCTCTTTCGCCAGGGCTAGGGGAGAGAGGGGCAAGCCCCCCTCACCCGCGCGCGTTAGCGCCCCCGACAGGTGGGGAGCGAGTTATTAGTTCCGCAAACTCCCGGGGGTCTCTCTCCCTCTCTCTTTTTTTGGGGGCCCGTTCCATCTGCAGAGGTTCTGCAGGAAGAATTCCTGGATACGAGGAGGCTGTTGGAAGGACATACCACATACACACTACAACACCCCAAGAAGGCCTCGAGTCCCTGCCTGGCAAAAAGTGCCGATATACTGCAGCTTCCGGGTACACTACAAAGGCCCCAGACTCAGCGAAACTCTTCTTCAGCACAGACAAGGGGAAGCTTCGTTCAGCTCCTGCTAAGCTCTTCTTCTCCCAGGCGTACAAGCCTGTCGGGCATTTACCCCCCTTCTTGCGGACCTTTTGGGAGGGAGTGAAAGTCTGGGATGATTTATCGGCTAAAAAGGCAGGGGCATGTGTTTTTTGGCTGACTGCTACAGAGTGTCGCGCTTCTTTAAGCTCTCTCGCTCTGTCTAGGCTTTCGGCCACCGCGAAGAAACACTGCACGGGCATTCTCCTGAAACCAGGAGCTGTACTTGATCTTCGACTTCTGATGCACACGAAGCCTCGTCCACATCCTCACCGGCAGCTTCTAAGGCTGAGAAGCTCCTGCTGACCTGCCACGCAAGCTCCCTCACGCCGCTCGCGTGGCGTCTCTGACACTCGATGCCTTGTTGAGATTCCATGAGTCGTGCACAGTCTTCAAAGCTATCCTCTCCTTTCCTAATTGCATATCAATGAATTTTCATTCGTCCCGACTGTTGCCGCTGGCCTTTAAGGTGAAGTGGCGCGGTGCTTTGACCTCCAGGGCTGTGGCACAGGTCTGTCTAGCTAAGCTTGCCAGTGGCTTGGCAACTTGATTGAATTTGCCAAACCCCAACGACCAACCCGATCGACTGGAGGTGACGAAGAGACATCAACCTCACTTGTCATGAACCAGCATCCCGCTCCACTGCGCACTGCCCATAATCTTTTATTGGCATCGCCCACGGAACAACCCCTTCGCTAGTTTTTTGAAGCGACAGACGGACAAGCTTTCACATCTCAACGATGGTAGGCGAATGTAGGCGATCGTTCGTTCTGGTGACGCTGGGGCCGTGACCAGTGCGCCCAGTCAACTGACCCAACATGACCCAACGCATATCCACCCGGAATCCACCCATCAACTGTCGCGTTCTGCCTGACGCTCTGGAGGTGCGCGCAAGGATCGCACAGTGCGGTCGACGTTGTGCTCCCGGTGCCTGGGCTCCCAGGTTGAGGCTTTGACGGGTTGTCATGGTCTACAGTAGCGACCTTAGAGCCAGAACACTGACTGAGCTCCGGGCTGCTCTGCAATGTCACCCTCAACTTGCCTGCAAAAGCTGTCCACATGCATGATCGGACCCCATTCTTGCGGTGCCCCTGCCTGTACGTCTCTTCGTACTTCTGCCAAATTTCGAAATCGGTGGGATCTATCCGCGCCGCTTCCCGAAAATCCTGTCCCGCATCTATGGAAGAAATCTGGCATTCTGACACATGGCGCAGGAACCTCATACGCGGCACGCACATCACCGCCTCAGCGCTGTTGGCGATTACAGTCAGCCTGTACGAACTCCAGGGTGAAGCTTCGAATAGGGTACGTTGGGATGCGGCGGTCGGCGCCTAAGGGGTGGGGACACCGCGCTCGGGCGGCGCAGGCGGGTGCGCGACGAGACCCACGGTGCTCGACTAGTGCTGCGTGTGTGTGCGCGCGTGCGCGTGCACGTGTGCACATGTGTGTAAGTGTGCGTGCATGCGCCCAGTGGGGAACAATCTTGCATAGGACCGGTGTCTTATCTGGACACTCACGATACTTCTGCCTTAGATATCTATCAGCCTCGAGTGGCACTGGAAACCTGCGAAGTCTGAAATTCAGCGCTCAGGCTGACGAGAAACCACCTTGCGTGACAGCGCTGTGAGGGACCGGCCGTGGAGATGGCCCAGTCCCAGCTGGTAGAAATTTGAGGCTGATGCCTTCACGACAGTCTTTACTGTCTTCAGTAGCCTCCTACTTGGAAGAGGTGACTCGAGTGACCTAACAGCGATTAACAGCGAGGCAGAGAGCCAGAGGAGAATCGAGAGAGCAGTGAATGTCACTGGTTCATAGTTCAGCAAACCGCCTGAAAAAGCGTGTCGCCTGGCCGAACCGCCGACTACTCTGAGGCAGAAAGACAAGGTTTCCGGCCTCCATGCAATCGGCACAAAGATGTGCTACATCTCAAGCTCATATACGCATGCTTACCGAATGTACGAATGTGCAGCGCTTTCCTTTATCTTTGGCTTGTCTCACCGCTATTGGCATACAGGTTTGCATGTGAGACTGTAGACAAGACTGCACAGCTGACCTTCCTCCACGTGAAAACCATCTGTAAACGGCTCGCCGGCAACACGAAAAGCAAGCACAGCTTGGGCAGCTTGGCCAACTTACGCCCACCGGAGATGCTTTCGGTTGCCTTTGTGGTGGGAGTCCAGGTCCCGGTCCAGCAGGTCGTCCAACTCGTCTCGACCTCCACACATGTGCTGATTTCGCGCCGCCGAAGGTACGCTAGCTGCTAGCTCGCACGGCCTTCCCAGGAGAAGCCCAAGTCCTTTGTCAGGAAGGGGAAGGAAGTCAGGTAAGGCCTTTAATGAAGGAAAGAGGAACATGAGGAAAGCATGAAAGGAGAAGCCCGTGTCAGCAAAAGTGCCGGCTGGCTTGTGAATGTTTGGCTGGGCTGGGCTGAATATTTGGATTGCCGATGGACAAGTTCTGAGACCGCACTGTGTCGTTGAAGTCGCAAAGGAATTGCAGCATCGCCAGATTGAGGCAGGAAAGGAGATAGCCACGGAGAAAGCAAGGGCGAGACCACGGAAGAGGGAACTCAAGGTACACGGGGCTGGCTCAGGATTGCTTGGCCCCGCATGCGAAGTTAAAATGGCGCGCTTCGCCGAGCATCGGGAGACGCCGAATCGTTGCGTAGGCGGACGTTTTCGTGCTCTTCCCCAAACCAGCCTTAGTGCCTGTTACGCTTTACCCTCTGAGGGTCTCTGAGCGCGGTCTTGCTAAAACGCCCTGCTTCGATCTCCGAAGCCAAGCTTCTACTCGCATGTTCCGGGGACGCCATTTGCTGCACAGGAGGCCAAACAATGACCCAATGTTCTAGACTCTAGACACTTTCACGACGGGCTTGTATACTGAAATCCTCGAGTTTTGGAGAACTACCCTGTAACCGTAGCTCTGAGATTGGGATGCAGCTCGGGCTGGACTCTCATATCAACCAACCTGAACAAACACCCCTGACTTCGCACAAACCTACAGCCAGTGCCTGGCCAATATGTTTGACATCGGCGAAGGAGAAACACAGGGTCTTGTTTTGCTCCAAGGTCCGCACTCTGCTGTCGGACCTGCGAGCACGAGCAGCGTGATTGGAGTCCACAGCATGCCCTCATCTACGGTGGGCTGGGGTGCTGCTCATGCAGAGTATAGGTTTCAAAAAGCAGGCTCGCTCGAAGCTGCGACCATGCATGTTGCACCCATCCGTCCCACTCGGCAGGGACAGTTTCAGTCAATCTCTCTTAATAAGTAAGTCAAGTGAAGACTATCTTGTGGCACCGGAAGCAATGGCAACGCTTGCTTTATGCCTCCAGTAGTGTGCTGCGCACTATGACTTCATGCCGGGTTTCTGGCTGCGCTTTTTCTGCCCAGAAATCATGGTCATAGATTTCTGCGGCATCCTGCATCACTTGAAGTCTGTCTAGGAATATCTGTGCGTCAGGCTCTCGAATCGTAGCCTGGCCTCCTTGTTTTCGTCTTCCTGTTCCAACCTAAGCAGTAGGCAGAGGGCCCCAGCCTCTGGACAGTAGTAGACAGTAGTGAGCAAAATCTGATTTGCAGGATGCTCAAGATGAAGCTGCTCATCAGACTCGTCGAGCTCGGCGTCCTCTTCAGCAGCTTCCTCCTCCAAGCTCAACACAGCTTTAGCCATTCGATCCATCCTGTCTCTGGTCGCGCTGCCTCAGCCTTTGGCGAGCTCACCTGGCCGTTGCGTGGTAACTGGAAAACCGCGATGGGCTGCGAAGGAGCCCGAAAGAAGTCTACGCGAGCCTCCAGCCAATATGCCACCAGTGGTAAAGCTGCAGCCAGCAGAATCAAGCGAAGCCTTCGGGACAGAAACCCGAAAGGAGCATGACAGCTTCAAAGGAGCACGCAGGCTCTGGACATAGTTTTCCCGAGCTCGCATACGGCAGTTTGGGATGTGTGTCTGCAGCTCACGTGAGCATTGAGGCCCTAAACCCTCACTTCATTTAAGATGTAAATACGTGGAGGACTCGCGCACGAAGCTGTGGCGGCACAGGTAGTTACCTGTCACTTCGCATCTACACATGAATCACACTCCCAAGCCGAGATAAAGCAGCTTTAGTTGGAGCTTTACTGATGCACGCCGCCTCTTCCGTTTCGACATGTAACGAAACTAGTCAGTTCAGCAAAAGCCCACGACATGCAGCCAATGCCTGGACGACCACAAGCCCACTTGATAATGGATCAAAAGAGCCTTTTACATTGCAACAGTTCTGAGCGGGCGGGCCTAAGCAAGATGAGCACACCCACCACGACCAGGACCCAAGATCGCGCCTGTCTTGGCAGACGAATCTCCGGCACCCCGGACTCAATTGTTGTACCATTTGCTGTCAAGGTAAGCTTTGAAGAAGTCTGGCGTCATCTTTCTGATGTCCGCACGAACTTGCCAGCTACCCTCCACAAATCCTGCCCTCTGAAGCATGCAGGATTGCTGGTCTCCCCTCTCACCAACTCTCAAGATCGCATGCTTACACATGTTCATAATGTTCAAGCATATTGCATAGGGATGTTTCTAAAACCTCTATCCCCGCAGCGAAGTGCCAAACTCGCTCTCTAATAATGCAGCGACCAACTTAGGACTCGAAGTTGACACCTGAAGTCACTGCATCTGGACGCGAATTTCACGAAGTACACAACACGTAGGGCGAAGAGCCATTGGTGCCCAGCCAGTTTCTCCAATCATGATGCGACCTTTGCACTACATCCTGACATGTACCTTCCCACAGGAGTTGAAACTGCGGTCGTTGGCTCTCATCCCCAGTCGTGCTTGCGATTTTTTCCTGGCCTGACATCTGATTGCCAAGTCAAACTGCCTTTTCAGAACTGGAAAAATCAAACCTGTAGGTGAGAAGACATCGGCGGAGAAGCGCCCACGCACGGTCCGCCACAAGGAGTTATACATGTCCACATGTAGAAAGGAATAAAAGCGCCAGAAAGGAGAACTCATAGCACAGAAAAGAGGCGAAGTTTGACAACTTGTGAGGCAGGGTGGAAAGGAAGTGAAGAAAGCTTGGTCACCACATGTCGCCGCGAAAATCACGCACGAGTTTTCGTTTTTGCACTCATCGTGAAGGCTGTGCAGCGGCAGAGGCTGATGCTGAGGAGCTTGCATCTGAATGTGAGAGACAGACGTAAACCTTAGCAAGCCTGCACATGCAAGGAACACTACTCAACAAGCGAAGGAGAGAGAAGTGAAAGACTTCGCTGCGGTCAGCAGAAAGGATAGTGACCTCACGCCGGAAAGACTTGCGCTGAAGAGACAGCACAAGAAGAGGAGGCCAGGCATGGAGCACGCGGAGCACGCTGCAGGCTGGCGCTCGAAGAGTGTCGGCCCGGAGTCGGCCTGTCCCGAGCCCATCATCTTGGACCATGGCGTCTCCTGCAATGAAAAAGTCTGGCCAGAATCTGACAGTCCCATCTGAGCATCTCCTGCGCCATGGGCTGCCCACCCACATCGGCTTCCAGAGGACACTCGGATTCCCCCACGGACCCGAGTAAACTGCATTGGGCACAGGACGACCAGTCGGAAGCATCAGGCAATCATTGCCGCGCTTAAGTCTCAGTAGAGCTGCTGTTGCATGTTCTTTCTTCGTTGGGCGATCCGCAGGCCATCTCCGGCCGGGCTTTGCCAGCCTTTTGCTTGGGTCACCATCGAAAGCTGCTTTTGCCTTCGAACTGTCCAGGTTTCACAGCTTGCCTGGCTGGATGGATGCTGGGACTCACCAGAAGACCACGGACAAAACAGCCAAAACTGCCAGGCAGGCTCTCCGATTTTTGCATCTAGTCTCTGCAGATCTGGCCGTGCAGCCTTAGCTAGTCATTGAGCAGTGCTCTGAGTTCGGATTTGCTGTCATGCTAGTTCCAGCAGCTCACTCAGGAGCCGAGTGAAATGGGTCACACATGCCGTGTCGATTTGTGCTGTTATCTGTCGATCGGACGCCTCTCCTTTCTCTACATCGAGTACGGTCGAGGAACCTCTCTTGGAGGTCCTTGCTTGCCACCGGGCACTGCTGACGGCCACCACCTGTCATGTCAATATGCGAGTTTCCGGCACAGGGGCGCCCACGGAACGGGAAAGAACATAGCAGGGAGCTCGGCATCTCACCTGGAAGCATGGATTCGCGACTCCACTGCGGCCAAAGCATCACTCAAGCCAGCTATCTGCCTTCGCACGGTCTTTTCATGAGCTCAAGGACCAGGACCCCATCGCTGAAGCTCCACCAGCTCTCCTTCCGACATGATGAATAATTAATAGCACCCGTGAACCGACCAGCCACCATCACGAACCACACCGCTGCTGACTGCGGGCCTTGCTCCAGTAGAAGATAGTAGAAGGTAGGTTTGCAACTGTTTGCGTCAGCATCCGATCACTGGCAACACCGCTGTTGGGAGGTACTTGTGCCATGCACACTTGAAAGAAGCTTGACGCACACACTCGCAACTGCAGGTATGGCAATAAGTGTCCGAAAGACTTTTAGGTAATGCCCAGCAACAGTTGGACGGCCGCATGTGCTTTCCAAATTTGAAAAGCTACACACTAGCAGCTCCGCCCATCCGCAGACTCTGCGTAGACGAGGCGACATCGCATTCCACACTCGTAACAGCAGCAAGCGACTGAGTCTTCGCTTAGCTCCTGTGTAGACACCTCGCCAGAAAGCTCGCAGTCCAGAAGCTTTTCCTCCTCGGCTGCGGCCTCGCTGTGGGCCTGCCCAAAGACATGCCAAAGAGCGATGAGACCAGGCAGAGCTTTCATACGAAATGGCCGGGAGTACCTAGTCTTCCGCCAAAAGGTTCGGATCGGTTCGAGAGGAAAATGAAGGCGATGGCTCTTGTCAACTATGCCTGTTGACTATTGTGGCCTTGTGGGTCGAGTCGACCCCTGTGCCTCTGGGCAGTTCGAGTTCGAGGCCCGGTGTTCACCGTCGATCCCAGTCCCAGTTCCAAATCCCCACTGAAACCTTGATGAGAGGGTTTTTATAAAAACCCAAAGAGGGTTTTTATAAAAACCCTCTTTGTATGACTAAGAACTGCGACAAGGTGTCGTGATTCAAACGCAGAGCTCCGAAGCTGAGATCGCAGCTGCCAGCGTCGTAGCAATGACCAAGCGCCGCGGTTTGAAACTCACGCGCGGCCTTCCCGTCCAGCAGCGGCACCGGGGTGCAGTTTCGAAGCTGGGACTAAGGTGACTTCAAGAGTAAAAGACAGCGATTACCGGCTGTCCTTGATGACGGCGGCAGAGTCACCTGATCGAAAAGGCCGCCGCGCACACACACACACACACGACAAACAAAGAAAAACAAGACTGAAAGAAATGCCGTGGATTGTGCTGAACAGTGATGCCAGAGCACGGACATTGTAATGGTCTCTGCGGTCTGGCCCTCAGCAAGTCGCCGTGATGCGTCAACACGTTCGCATTGATGCTAGACCAAGGCTGGGACAATGTACCCGCGACTCTTAAGGCGACAGTATTGGTTCGGAAGACAATCACTTGTTGCCACTATCTGTGCAGAGCCTGTCCAACATCTCGAACATGCAAACAAAAGCTCGCACTCTCCATGCACCAGCATTGCGTTACATCATTCGTGCTTGAAAGTCTGCAGGCTCACACAAGCCAAGCAATCGGTTACAAAACCCTCACAGGCTAGATGGGTGAACAGCATGTCCGACAGCAAACCTCAAAGCCGACCGGCCAAGCCGCTTAAATGCCTCGCTCTGCCTCAAAGCCCAACCCAGCGTATCGCGGGCTTCGAAATCAACCCCATAACATCAAGCCTTGAAACTGGAAACCGAATTTCGTTCCAAGGGCGCAAGAGACAGGGTAAACGCAACAAAGGTCATGACACCTTCGCATTCTGCGCAAGTCCTGAGGCAAAGACCCAGGTAATCGATGCATCTGCTGGGCCATCTGCGAACAAAGGAATTTCCATGGCTCACGCTCTGATACTACACAGCGAGTGCATAACACTGGAGATGAGCTCGGCATCGCTGCGTTCGAAACATGCTAGCAACAATCCCACATCAAACTTTCCGAAACAGTCCGTGGCATCATGTCGAGCCAAGGAGTCTTGATTTCTTGTCTCGCATCCAAGTTGTGCAATCAGCCGCCACAGCACAGCATCGGCACTCTGTTGCACGGCTTCTCTGTTCTCCTTCTGGGTCGGCGCACGCAACACTCCGATGTGTCACCAGGCCTACACTCCCTGCGTGTACACTGCTGAACAGAACACGGCGCATGCCAAGGAGGACTCCTCAGATTGCTGCTAGCGGCCTAGCAGTGTCTCTCATATCATCTCCAGTAGCATGGAACACACAAGGCCGACACAGAAACGGGTTTCCTTTCAGTGTCCTCAAGAGGAATCACATGCAAACAGCCCACAGCCCCGTCGAGGCGTGGCAAGCCGGTAGGCACGCGTCTTTGCGTTTTGCCTGTTACTGGTAGCGCGCAGCGGCACCAATGCCGACCGAGTCTGCAGAGCACAGCTTTTGCCAGCGGCCATGCAATGCTATTTAATGCTATTTGTTTGTCCAATCACAGCTTCAGTTCACCTCCAAAGCGATACTGTGCGACTCTCGGCTGTAAGGCATGGGGCCATGGCCTGTCCTATCCCTCCAAGCACTTCCACAGACACCGAGCTACCCATACTTGTTGCTCAAGTAAAGAGAAAGGCCTGTGAACATGTCCAGTGCTGGTCAGGTCGAATGCCCGTGGAAGTGGGAAGGTACGCAATATCAGATTTCTCACTACACTTCGCTTCGGCAGAAAGGTTGGATCGGATGTGGAAGAAGTGCAGCGGCACGTTCTGCACGCTGCAAGGAAGATGGTGCGGGATGCGATCCAACTGAAACCCCGCAATGCTTGATCGGCCTCCGAACCTGAGCCAGCAGGGCGCAGCCCAGCTGCAGACCGATGTACAGCATTTTGAGCATATGCGACGGACGAGGCACTAGCAAACAAACCACGAGCAGTCGAAGAGGACTAGCCCAAAGTACTCGCTGCACGTATCGCTTCACTATCTATGCAGAATCTATGTGCCAGTTCCAAGTCTCAGCATGAGTTGCCCAGTCTAGGATGTCTAGGGTCTAGCTCAGTTTGTCAACTATGAGGGCGACTAGCAAAAACGTCATCCTTACAGTATGTTCTGAATGTGTACTCCAGTACGAGTTGTTTGACTCACCGCTCAGCCGTGCCCTTGTACAAAGTGGCCGATTAGAGCGTCTCGTGCCTTACAACCCTATTCGCCCTCTGTCGGGCTTGGGACATCGTGCAGCGAGTCGTGGAACTCACAAGGCCTCGCAGAGGCATCCTGGATTTGAGCACCCAGCGTAGGAGATTAGAGGCTCCAGAAGGAAAGCCTTCATAGCCTTCCATGCCTGGCACCGCCTCCTTCGGCAATTGAAACTGCCGTTTCAGCGCGGAGCTGTAAACATATCCCGAGTCATCCGACGCACGAGCTCACTTGTGATTAAAAGGAGCGCGCAAGGGTAGAGTGTGACCAGATGCAGCCATTAATGGTGTAAAAACACGTTCCAGCACATAGGCAGACGACTCAGAAACTTAGGTCGAATGTACCCCGGTGCTACTTCACTCAGCCGGCACTACTGGCCCCTGTGCAACAATCCCCCTCCCATCCGTCCGATAACTTTGGCATACCAAACCTACCAGACCTACCAGGACCTACCTTCGCAACTTCGTCGGAAAACGCTTCGGGATCGTGCGATGAGGAGCCGCAAGCCAGCTTCCCCTCAAGAACAATGAGAGATGAAAGAGTGAGACGCGCACCCTGCTCCTTGCTAGGACACGCTCTTCACAAGGTCCTTTGCTGTTAATAAGCCATACATGAAAAATAATTGCAGTGCTGCAGCACGATCACTCTCTCCAAGAGGCGGACTCCGATCGATGCAAATTTCGGACTCGGATTCGGTATGACTTGTGCAAGGGCACCGGCTGGTCTTCAGCCCGCTCCTTGCTGCGACCTGCTGTGACCTGATGACCATTCCTGCGACCAGTCCCACAGGTCCAAGTTGCGTAACAAAGTTTCCCGGTCGTGATTTTGGGGTTCTAAGACCGCCGTGGGCCCTTGCACCAAGAGTTGCTGGAGGTCGAAGGCCAACAGCTCGACCAGTCCAGCGGGGCGACCATGTACACGACAAGACATGGCACAATGGCCCTGCAAAATGGGACCGGTGGTCCTTGCACTCACCCCACTCAAGCCGAGAATCGCCCGTGTACGAACAGAGTCCTGCAAGGGAGACGAACAAGTCTGCTCAGTGGCCTGGGACATTCTGGCCGGCTACGGGCCCCATTTGAACGGACCCACTGATAACAACCGATGTTGTTACATCAAGAATGGGTAAGCAGGAAGCACTCTGAAAACAAGGCTTCTGTAATGTTTCCTTTTCTTCATACATCTACCCACGTCATGAACCCTTGCCTAATATGGACGTATGTATGTGTGTGTCTGCATGAAACCTTGCCGGTGACGTGAGACGGCGGTTTCCGGCGAGGTGTTGATTGCATATCGACAAGTTACTGGGTTGGCACAGTGCTCCTCTAGGGATAAAGGATGCCACAGACAAGCAACCAGCGTTCCGAACATAACTATTCCGCAACTAGACGCCTCGATTGTAACTAAGACGATAAGATCCAATCCATGTGAGTTTTTTGTATTTACCAAGGTGACGCCCCTCGCGGGACGCCTTTTGCATATGCGGGACTCCTTAAGTCATGCACCCTGTAGCTTGATGCCCTGTTCTGATGCCGTCATTCGACAAGCTGGTCCGATAAGGACAGCGCACATGACTATCGAACCTGCCAAGCAGGAAGCCCTGGGTCTGAATGTCTGCAGTCCTGTTTGTGCGAGGTGTTGCCAAATCGCTGGCTTCGGCTCCGCCTGAGCTGTCTGCAATACTATCTCTGCACTTTCAACTCAAAGGCAAACGGCAATTGCCTTGAGGGCTCTCCCCGAGGAAGAACGGCACTGGGATGTTCTTTGCGCCAGGCACACCTTGGTCTTTCTCCACATCCCGAAATACTTTGACCCTGTCATGAAAAACCATGTGCATCGGCGTCCAAACCTTGCGCTGCTTGCCGCGCTGATAAGGCCAAGGCCCTGAAAAATGCGCCGAGGTGAGCCTGCACACAAATGATCCCTTCGTGCAGTGCCTTCGGCGTTGACATTTAGCTTTGTGCTCTTACGAAACCCTTGGAATGACGCCCCACTCAGACCCATCATGCCTGGCGGACTGTGGGATCCTTCCGTGCGTTCGTCGTCTTCCCTCGGAAACATGCGTTGAGAGCTTGCACATGGATAGCACATGGCGCAAGGAAGAGCTGTGGTGCATGGAAGGCCGAAGTTTGTCGGGGATCCACGGGCAGTGCAGGAGCCTCGAGGCTGGCTACTGCTTGAGGGTGCAACCGCTGTTGATTCTTCAAGCAGGACCGTGCTGGAATAGGGGTCCGTGTCAAAGCTATCGATGCGGCAGATTGGATTCTCCGCGCATCCGGCGAGCTTTGACTTCTGCGCGGCAGGCTTCCCAGTCTCCTTCAACCCTTATCATGGTATTTGAACCTGATGAGAGGCCCTCATCAGGTTCAGGCACAAAGGGTGTCGTGCTGATTCGACTTGGCCACGGAAGCAGTTTTGCTACTGTCGCCCAGAGGTTGCTTGGTCGAATGCGCACACTGCAGTTGGCAGTTACACGGGGGGAGTTCTTTAGTGCATGCATGGCCCAGCTTATGCCTGGCTCGTGGCTAGCATGAGTGTAGTGTGAACGACCGCCGTTCTGATGCTGTGCATCACTACCTTCCTACATAAAGCATCGCAAGCTACTTCGGCTTCCCTGACAGCAAAAGAGATTCAGCGGCACATGTCAGGAAGACTGACTAACCAATGCAGGACACTAATTAGCAACGTTGTAGGGTCCATAATGAGAACCCTGATAAGAACCAGCGCTTTCGAGCAGGTCCAAGCCCGACCAAGGGCTCTCATTGCCCGCTGCCAGACTCTGGGCTGAGTTCCGTGCAGCTCTGGTAGTTCGAGTGCCTTGGCGAAAGCTGCATGTTAATTGATCCTGCACTGCGCCGCGACGCATCTGTCGCCTCTGCCTCGCGTCCAGGACAGGAAGACCTAGCCAGGTGTATGATGCAGTCTGCGACAAGTCTCGGTGGAAGCTGATGTTTGTCAGAGCAGGCAGCGGGACGGGCCGTAGCCGTGCAGTGTGACCCAGCCTGAGGAGCATAGACACAGCCTCCTCGAATCCTGCGACAAATAGGCCGAGAGTATCGGAAGACTGTGGTCTCCAATATAGCGACTGCGTCTGCAACTCTTCGCACTGGCTGTCAGCCTTTCTTTGCCTCAGAGTAGCGCTCCGCGTAGTCCTGGTGCTGGCCATTTTAGTAAAAGTGCGTGGTGGCACACCTCCCACTTCTCTCCTCACTGGTGCTGGGCCCAGATGCCAGGTGTGGCAAGATCGATGGCAGATTCTCCCTTAGAGCACGACTCAACCAACGCGGGCGCTAGCTCGGCAGGGGATCCCTGCAGCTACGTCTTTCCGACTAGGCGAAGCTTGGGGTGGACAGGAAAGGAACATCGGACGTCAGTCTCTGCTTTTCACCAGGCCGAGAGGCGTAAGGCCCGGTGGTTCAGCAACTGCCAGACTTCCTAGCCAGGTGCTGCAGCAACACTGAACTCAAGCTGCGCCAACCATACAAACCAAGGTTGCGTGCCGGGACAGGTTCTTGGGACGAATGGGCATTGCAATCATACCGTTCACAGCTCAGGCTTCCACCTGGGGGTAGAGGTACCTTCGCAGAATCGTCCTCAGCACTTGCTGTCGGCTCAGGAGATTCTGAGCCCATGTGCCCAGGCAATGCTAGGCTGCGTGCCTGGGATGACCTCAGTCAGGGAGAGTTCACGCCAGACGAAGCAAAGCAGCTGGTTCGGCCCCCGGCTGTCCGGCTTGAACGGAACACAACAAATCGTAGGCCTGCCGCAAGGCAAGGCCACGGCGCAGCCGCCGTCTTTCTTTGAACAAGTGTGTTCGTTACCTGCAGTAGAATGGCTTCCTGATGTGAGGTCTGTTCCGGCGCTGAGCTCCGGCTCATCTCGATCTTTCAAGTGTCTATTGTGGCAGGGGCTCTTATGAGAGTCCCGTGTATCTGAACACTACATTGCAACCTCGCTTGAAGGCAGTTCGTTGACCCGTGAAAGCTCAGGATTCATTGCAAATGGTCGCTGTTGGCAGGACCCTGTCTCAATTTCTGGCTTGACGGCGAGGTGCGCTCCGATGCGTATCATGAGAACTCCTTGTCGGCCCCCGACAACAGATGACAACAGTGCTGGAAGGACAGGCCAAACATGGCCAAACTCTAGCCCGCTTTTGGCCACAGGGCAGCGCCGCAAGGTGAAGTGTTGTTTTCAGCGAAGGGGAGGGTTGTAGCACTTGTGCCCACACGGCATGTGTGTGCTGAGCGGCACTCCGCACCTAAAATTCCTGGACAGAAGCCATCGCAGGTGATTACTCACAAGCTGCATGCGCAGATGCACCTCCGAAATGTCCATTCGAACGCCCTGGTGAATCACGATGGGCCTCGCCAAGAGAATCTGGCTGCTGCGCACTGTGCAATGGTGGGCTGGCCGGCACGTGCTGAATGACATGCTGTCTCGTTGTGCCTGTACTGGCTGTTTCGCGATTGAGACACAGCACCTTTGCAAGACGTTGCAGCCACTCTCTGGGTTGTATCTTGGATGTGTCGGGATCAGAGCTGAGCGTGGGACGGTTTGAGAAATGTCGGATGTTCTCGATAAAGCCTTGAATGTGAGCCAAAGAGACTCTGGCCACCTTTTGACCTCGCATGAAAATCGAACGCAAAGAGAAAACTACATCAGGCCCGCAGTATCCGAACAGCGGTTGGGAAGCCAGCTTGAGTGGTTCTGGAACAGGTAGCCGGCGAATTCCACCATAAATCGCTCCAGGTCCTCAGATCCGGCAGTCAGCAGCCTCAAGCTGACATGTCAGCTGGAGTGATGCTGATGCAGGACTCTGCCCACCAACAACCAAGTGAGCTCATACTGCTGCGCAGTGTGATATGAAACCAGGACAGCGAATGGGCCCAGGGCGGGTGATGTGAGAAAGTTGATGAAGGCATATCCGACGTTTGTCCTCGCAAGTGACCACAAGCCGGCTTCCACCAGAAATCGAGCCAGCAAATTCCTGTTCTGAGTGTCCATGGGCAAGTAGAAGAAGTCGTAGGTACCTGCTGGTGCCAAAGCGATATACCAATGGGACGCTTTCAATCGTGCTTACGAGATTGTGACAGTGGTTGTGTGCGCGTGCTGTTCTGCTCTGTTCTCCGGGGTTCGAGGAGCTTGTCAGGCTCCCGGCGCTGTCTCTGTCTCTGTCTCTCTCTCGTCTCTGTGTGCGTGTGCGTGTGCGCGTGCGTGCGTGTGTGGGTGCGCGTGCGTGTCTGCGCGCGCTGGCGTGCGTGCAGGCGTGCGGGCGTGCGGGCGGGCTGCGTGCGCGTGCATGTGCGACATGTTTCGAGCAAGATATCCAACACAAAGTGCCGGGGCGTACGGCTCTGCGACAATGCATTCTACCTCAGGACGCTATGCATCAGAAAGCACAAGTAGGGTTGGTTGATCACCCTTGTGTGCCTGCAGGGGCCTGCAGTTGAACACGGAACGGTGCCAAGCCCAGATGCCCAAGCTGTTGACACAGTGTAGATATGTGTATACATATATAGTACATATATATATATATATAGATTCAGAGAGAGTCTACGGTTTACTTGCCGCGCACCGGCCGCAAAGCAACGACTTTGAATTGAATTGAGCCTGGAGATCTATCGGCCAAAGTGCAGATCCTGATGATCTGAACATGGCTACCTAGGATTAAGTGGACCATGGACCACAGCTGGGCATAGGATGGATGCTCATGTCCGCGTGTGTGTGGGGCAAGGAGTTCGAGCTGCTTGGGAGCTCGCCACGATATCCGGCCAGGTCGATTTCTTGCAGAAGGCTTGCCTTCCAGGCACGTGTGACGTGACTCAACGCTGGCTTCGATAAGGTGTATTTGCTCCAGCCTGAGAGTACCGGTTCGGAATGTTCCTGGCATAAACAGATCCAAGTCATCCATCCTTTTCTATGATTCTAAACCTGAGGTGCTGACCGCAGCATGACTGTCGTTTTGGGCCTGTGCGCTCTTTTGTCTTTGTCAAGGCGGCTTGGTCCGTCTCTCAGATACACTCTGCAAGCGATGTCGCGTGGAAAGTATCGCTTCAATCACGGCTGTGGCCCAAATCGCAAGAGGTTTCTGCTAGGTCAAGCAAGAGACAAGCCAGGCCTCTCGGCTTGAAAATGGTGCAGAAGATCTGCCTGTGTCGATTACATTCACGTGGCTTAAAGAGCTACAATTGTCATTCTGCGTCGCCCCTCACTCCTCGGCCGAAAGTTCTACGTAGGCTCCGGACATGTTTGGGCACGCTGACGGAGTGATATGGCCTTAGCTGGTTTCGGCTTGAGTTCGATTTCAGCGCAGGCAACTGCGTGATATGGTATCCTTTCTCCGTGTTCTAGTCCTCAACATCCCGCGCAGGATGGGCAAACTTGAGCAGAACTCACCCATCTACCACTGCAAAATCGAAGATGCATCGACTTCTCTCGTGAGTAAAGTGGTGTGTTGGAGCCGTCGACTCTGGGGCGAGCATACGCATCAAAGATTCCGGCTTAAAGATGCCTTTCTCCACATTGGCAGTTGCCCCACCGCGCCTGAACCAGGAAATGCAAGGCGAAAAACATGATACTGAAGCTACTAGTACCGAAAAGGCAGCTCAGAACCTCTCCATTTCATCATGTGGGCAACATGCAGCCAACCAGTACAGCCGTAATCCCGGGTCAATTCGCATCCTGTCACAATCGCAACGGGACAATTGCAACAGGCGTGTGCATATTTATAATATCGGTACGACGTGCAGCTTGCAGACAAGCGTTCGCATCACCACCAGTCTTGAGCAGGCTTGAGTCTCTGTTCTGACGTTCGGCCGCCCGTCGCGGGCGTGCCAAATGGTTGCTGAACGAAGCTGGAAGACGCCAATTGCCCCAAGAGTCCTAGGTCCTAGTGGGAACTGCCAAGCAGACCGAGCGGTTTTCGGGCATCCGCCGACGAGTTCCAAGGCTTGCGGAATCACATGCGGACTTTTGGGGGGCTGCCGCCTTCGGGGCTTCTTGACCTTCTCCTTCTCTCGCAGTTCACCTGACGCCGCAGACTGGTGCAGGCGGTGCGGTTCACACTCGCACTATTCGTCTAGCACCGGAAACAGCGCTGCTTGCGGCAAAGCTTCTCATGTTGTCTCGTCGCGTCGGCCCGAAAAGTGCAGTGGCGAGTTCTGCCAGCGGACCTTTCCCTAGAAACTGCTACTGTCAGACTGCCCTTCCTTGACGCTTCGTGGAGCTTCCGGAGATTTCTAGAGTCACCACAGAACTTCACTCTGTCCTTTGCCGGCCCCTTGGCCAAGCCTTGACTTCTGGTGGCCGCGCATGCACATTGGTGCTGGAACATGACAGAACAATCCACAATCTGATCCTGCACTGTCCCTGCAGCAGTGCCATCTTTTGTGACGAGCGCATCGCACCGCGTCTGGCACTCAAACGAGCCCGGCAGCCTGACAAAGCTTTCAAGTACTGAGTCGGGGTGGCAAAGGAAACTCCAACGGCGATCTGGGGATTTTGGAGAACTGAGGAGTAGTTGGAAGCCCAAACGTGCGGAACGAAACCAACACAGAGAGCTCTGCTAATTGTGTGCTGCTTGCTCGGAAGTTCTTGGGAGCATTTATCCTCCATTTTCGTAGGCCAAGAAATCAATGCGGCACTATGAGGAAGCGAACCCATGTCCTCGATTCACTCCGCAAAACCCACCAGTGAAAGCTTGTGTTTTTGCTGTTGGTGTTGGTGTTGTTGTTGTTGTTGTTGTTGTTGTTGTTGCCGGTGCTGCTGCTGGCGCCGGTGCTGTTGCTGGTGCTGGCGTTGTTGTTATTGCTGGCCCTGGTCCTGGTCCTGGCGACGGCGGTGGCGTTGCTGGCGATGGTGCTGGTGGTGTTGTGGTTGTTGTCATGTTGATTCGGTTGCAGGTGTAGCAGCTCCTCGCAGCAGCCAAATGCAACACTCAAAGACATGGTGTAGATGGCAGCCGGGCAGGGCTGCCGGGTGTGTACATCTGCCGTCCACAAATTTCAATTAATTGTGGACGTTCTTGCTTTGCTTGCATCCGGACTGCTGACATGCTGTTAGAGACCGCAACAGCCCCCACATGTCGCAACAGTGTTGCCCCATGATTTTCCACGGGTGCTGCTCCCAAACTGGGCACAGTACCGGTGACTTGTTGAGCGCTCTCTCGGAGTTGATGCAAAGATGCAAATCGAAACTGTTCTGGGAAGCCTTGAAATGAGGCTCGTCTCGAGCCCACCATGTGCTGTGGCTGCGAAGATACCTTGGATGCAGGCTTTTCCCTGCCTGCAATATTGAAGCTTTCCTCGAGCTACAGATTTCCAAGCTGGCAGTGTGTCGCTATTGTCCTCCGGGACACTGTGTGTCGCAGAATGCAGGTCGGAACTCCACCTGACGCACGTCGGCAAGCACGAGGTATGAAAGTTAACAAAGGTTCCTTTCCTCGCCATGGACTGGATGCCAGGTCTTCTCAAGGGTGTCCCAGGGTACCTGAAGGAATCGAGGTTTCGACTTAACTGGCCATCCATGCAACCTGCCTGCAATTTCTCCTGGCTCTTTGGATCAGGCGGGGCTGCAGAACCATACCTCGAGGAGATCAGGTCTCCACTGCCAAAACGCATTTTGTGTGCTAGGAGATAGGTTGTGCAGTTACTTTTGCATGGCAAGAAAAATCAATCACCTGGTGGCTTTACGTCCCAGAAGTAGCAGCCTCACACCCATCGCCAAAAGGACAGGGTGAGTCCGCTCTGCACGACAATAACTCAACAATGAAAACCATTAGTCCCTGTGTTCCCCGTGAGTAGGCACTCCTCTGGGGCTGCCAACACAGACTCGAATTTAGACTTGGATGTACCGGCGTATGCCATTTCTGCGACATGGATCGTCATGCTCTTTGCTGGGAATCACAAAGCCACAAAGCCGCTCTTGTCCCGTGTGAAGTTTTTGTTGTAACAAGCCGGTCATCAAGAGGTTTGAACAGCTCAAGCACAACAAGAATGCATGCCAGCTGCTAACTGAAAACCAGGACGTTTGCTCAGCAGTTGACACGGCTACCGAGCAACTACAAGCAGTCAGCTGAGACAGCAACGTCATCTTTTTCGCAGCTCCGTCCTCCTTCAGAAAGCCATCCATAATTTGCATTGATGAAGCCAGCGCAATCGTAATGATCGTCATTGAATCTAGTAGCTGCCGGTGTTGTAAATGTTTGTCTGTTGCAACTCATCAGAACCCTGGAGGGAGTTGCGTGCTCCTTGTCGAAGCTGCGCACAGGTGCCCAACCAGGACAAAGCCTTGCCAAGGGGTATTTTGGGTTTGTTTTCTACCGTACTTGTGTTGATACTATGAGAGCAACATCATAAACGATATAAGGCCGGGGTATTCCGATATTTCCCTTACCCCCCGCCATGAGGGGGTCCCTTCGTCCTGCGTCCAGTGCAAAAGGTCGGCGTGAAACGATATCTCTGTCTCTCTCTCGCTCTCTCTCTCTCTCTCTCTCGACCTGGTCTTGGCAGGGTTTTCCCAACTCCAATGAGGGTTTTCCCCCCACTGGCTTGGCTATACACTGGCTTTCAATGACGGATCCTCTTGACTCCCCGCCCCGACTTTAAAAGTGCAAACAGTGAAAAGATTGCAAGGATCCCCCATCATACACCCACGCCACTTGCCTCTGCAAACGTCAAACCCAACTTGTAACCGTTGCGTGAGCTATCATTCTGAGGCTTCGACTACTGGCAGAAGGGCTCGTAGTTTCGTAGCAACGGTTATGCATGCGGCCCCCTACGCAAGATAAAGACTGATCATGAAAAGGACATTCCCCCCGTGTTACGTGGTCACATCAGCTGAAAAGGTTTGCCCCTTCTGTATCTACTGGGTCCCTGTTTCCCCTCAGTAAAATTGGAAACCAACGGACCTAAACGATCAGAAAGGTATTTCAGTACGATGCTACGTGTACTTCCCCCGAGGTCACATCGAGCTTGAGCAGGGCCGACAGTTCGAGCCACAAACCCCCCTTGTGTGGCAACTACCGAAGGCTTACTACGACAGCCTCCCTCTGTCTCGCAGGCGCAGGGCAGGTGTCAAGTCCCCCGGCCCGGCCGTCTCGGGCTTTTCTCGTGTAAGTGGTATTCCCCCTCTCCCCCGTCGGAAGAGGCCCTGTCCGGCTAGCGTACAAAACCCACTCTGTCGCTGTCGCTGCTATTTCCAGGGCTTACTGTAACGTTTCAAGGGGGTGCATTTCAACACAACCTCCAGCTTCTCTTACTCTATTTCGCAAGGTCACAGGGAAGCGGAGCGATCTCTTCCCCCATGCAAGTGACACGAGCTGGTCTTCACTGAGCAAACAGCCTCGCCCTCTTAACACAAATGGTTGCAAGGATCCGTGTACCACCAGCTAAGATCAGTCACTTGGGGGCGTCCCCGGCCGAGCAGGTCTGTGGTCGAAGACGCGAGCGAGCCCTCGCCCCCGCGAAAAGGACCAGAGAACAAGTTTCCGCTGCTCTCTCTAAGACTCTATCCCGGGCATAGGCGGTGTTGGAGGCCGCCGGGCTGATGGCCCAGCCGTGACCGAGGCGTTAAACCAGGTATCATAACTCGAGGGAAAAAGCAGCTTCAGTCCAGATAACCTTGGGGCGAGAGGACCACACGAGGTTTCAGGCTTCAGCAAGCAAAAAGCATCGACAATGCCAGGGTTAACAGGATCTTGCCACCTGGACAGACTCCCTGCGAGGATGCAAAAATGCTTCTTTGGAATGCTCACCCCCCGAAACAATCACAGTAGAGAGAAGCCTCGAGCCACAGATAAAACGTATTCTCCCGGGCTCACAGCTGCTTGACTCGAAAAGGCGAAGTTTGTTAGTTCACATCGCTTGCGTGCGCTCTTCGACAGCAAAAATGAACAATGACAGGCTGGGTGACTCTGCGTAGGCGTGCAAATGGAGGAAGAGGAACTATAGGGTAAGGCGCAAAGTACACACGGGGCCGTGGGTACTATCCGAACTCGTGGCCGATCACGGAGAACCGGCGCATGTTTTCTGCTGTACCACATGATTACTATGGTGCGGTGACAGCAGCAGTCCAAAACAACTTGAACACACGGCGCCTCCAATTCAAACACTACAGTACCGGGCTGACATGCACTGGCCATTGCTAGACCATGAAGCGGAATCGCATGTTCGCATATCTTCTGTCACGGCGTGGCTGACACAAGCAACCACGTGTCAACACAGTCCATCGTGCCCGCAAAATAAGGTTCCCACTCAAGAACCCAAGCGAAACATTTTCTGCATTTCTAGTGGCTTGGAATCCCAAACTTGCTCTCTAGGTGGCGACACTTATGCTGAGCCATCAAAATAGAGCATATAGAGCACATAAGTGACTGGGAAAGATGCTGAAGTAAACAGTCACCTGTTGCAAGGCGTGGCCCAGCCCCCACTCTCAGAAGATAGAATGTCGCCAAGCCAGGAAGTCACAACAACAACAGAAGACAAATGCCCAACGAGAAGAAAATGAAAAAGCCTGCCCTCCCTGATCGTGTCGATGTCGCATGTTAACATCCACCATCAACGAAGCACAAAGCCTGTACAGCTCTGCCACGTAAACGAGGAAGCTGCACCTTTGTTCCAACTGACGGAAAGTAAGTAAGTAAGACAAACACCAAGGGCTCAAGAAGGCTGCACGTGCACTTTTACAGATCTGGTGCCTGCGTCCTTCCAGTGTAAAGCCAAGGAGCAGCGCCACTGCAGCGCCAAAGAGCAGTACTAGTAAAATCAAGGGCCACGTGGCCTGACCGTGGACTCCCGGTTTCTTCGCGAGATCGACTGCTTCGTGCAATCAGGTGAGATTTGAGATGCCCCAATTGATATCAGGCCTGCATAGTTTTGCGACTCAGCCACGGCTTCCTGACAGCGGCAAGAAGATTCGTCGAACCCAACCGACGATAATGGCTGTTCTTCTCTCCGGTGCGCGCCCTTTGACACTCACTGCCTGCCACATCAACACACTGTCGATGCGGAACCGTATGCAGAGCAACGTAGCCCCCCCCCCCCCTACACGGCACTGGCCGTGTCCCCCTAGGCCCTAGGTGTCCCCCTGGTCATGAACAACAGCCAGCTCTGCTTCTTCAGCAGGGCTTGGGAGCCACCAGGGCCCTCTCTGTTTCTGGTCGCGCTGGATGGATGTGAAAACTGAACTGAAGATGTTGGGTTGGGCGACATCCAAATTCTGTTTAGGGTGGTTCACATGATCTTCAGTTCTAGCAGACGGCTTGCTTGCTTGCTTGCAAGGGTCTAGGGGCTGCGGACGCAGGTAGCGGTCCAGACACCCTCTCCGTGCGCGCACGCACGCCCGCGGTTCCTTGGCAGGTTTGCTTGCTTGCTTGCTCAACCCCGCCACACGACGGAAACACAGGGCCCGGACGACCGGATACGAGCCGGCTGCCCCTGTGCAGCCGTCGTGAAGGTGGCACCGTCGTAGTGCTGCGTAGGACGCTGGAGACGTAGGTTTGGACGCGTAGTCCCGCAAAAAATGTCTGAAAGATGCGTATCCAGCGCCTGTTCCTTGGAATTGTAGCACTCAGCTAGAACTTCAACATTGCGAACCGGGGACCACTTTGAGACACTCTGAGAAGGTTTCACAGTTCAAGGTCTAAGGAGGAGCCTGTGCTTGGTCAAAAGCCGGATCCCCTCCTCAGCATGCTGGACATGATCAATGCCACACGCTGGCCACACGGTACGCGCGGTCTTTGGGTGCGTTCGGCTGCAGATCACGAGATCGAGGCGGCGATCGTCAGCGGGGATGCCCGGTGCCGGTGCTCGTGCGCTGGAAAGGGTAAACGTTCGGTGTGCAAACAATTGCACCGAAAACTCGATCACCGGCACCCCCCCCCCTTTCCTTTCAAAACCCCACGAACCTATGACCCCCAACCCGCATGTAGGCTGAGCCTGGTGACATCTGTCTCTGAGCTTGAGCCTGCCCTTCGAGCAGTCTCGTACAGGGTTAGTCACATTGCAAAAGGCCTGCTGTGAACCACCACCTCTCTCGTACAAGAGATCTAGCTCACACGATGCTGTGGCGATCTGCGCGGTCTGCTACCGAGGTAACTGCTACTGGGAGTACCCTTCGAACACAATTCTCTTCTTCCATGGGGCATGGAGTACTGTTAAGATCCCCGGCCACATGGCCACATGGGCCCCCCGTTTGTCATGCGGCTTTCGAACACAACTCTCTTTCTTGCTTGCTTCAGAGTAAGGGCATCTCTCTCTCGCCTCTATGTATGACAGACATTCTTTGATATTGATGGGTAGAGCACATCCATTGCACTCGCACTTCTGAACACGAGCATACCTGCTCGGCGCAGTTGGATCGCAGCACTCGGCAACCTGGTGGGCCGGCTGAGGTGCAGCCGCTTCAGTCCTCAGGCACTCAATCAAACGAGAAGAACGACCCAAACTAAGTGACAAGTATGGAAACTTCCAGGGTCCCAGAACGAGCTCTCTTCCTCTCCGTATGCTGAGGTGGAAGCTAGCATTGTCAGCGGAAGGCTGAGACTTGAGCCAGACGGGTTAGACAGTGTGTAAACGTAAACTCAAAGTCTGCGCAGCACCTCTCATGCCGTGGTCATGGGTGTCTCGACAGCTCCACATGCACCAAAGCCAGCATAAACAGCTGCACCGGCACAAGTTTTCAGCCAAACGCCGTCAGGTGGAGGCGTTCTCCGTCTTCGGCGCTTGCTGCTCCCGTGACTCCTGCACACCAATAGCTACTTGTAAAACGAGCTACCAGCTACCAGATGAGGCTCTCATCTGGACAACGACACTTTGAGGTTTTGGGCACCTCGCAACGATCCATATACCCTCAACTCTCAAAGCTTGGACACGGCTCCTGCATCTGCATTTTCAACGTGAAGTCCTTCGGCACCACAAGGGCCCAGCCTTTGTGTTCCTAACGCCTGCCCTTCGTCCGACTGTGTCGGGTGCTCTTCATCAGGATCCTCCTCAGATTTCTCGCCTCCATGGTCACCACTGGATGCAGTTGAGGCTGCCAAGCTTCTCATCTCGTCCCTTCTGCGTGGAGTTTCGCCGACATCCTCATGCTCCGTCCACCTACCTTGATCTGGGCTGCTTGTGACCGGTTGGAGCTCGTAGCGCTCGAACTTCAGCGGCTCACACTCCTCTGCCTGGACTCGGAGCGGAACTGGCCTGGACGGCGTGACCTCAAACTGCTGAAGCTAGCGGCGGCAGGCACAGACCAGAAAAAACTGGAACACGTGTATGGTCCACTTAGGTGCGCCGCAGGCTCTAGCGCCGCCCGCTCTTCCAGCCTCATAAAGCATGCGACACCACCTTCAGCCCACCCCAGTGTTCACACTCCGAGACCGCGGCATCGTCTGTGCAGCAGGGGAGTCGATGGCCTGTGCTCAAGACAAGGCTTCACAGTTCACAGTGCTCGGGCTTGGCCCTCTTGGGCCGCCCTTCGGCCCTTCCTCTCGATCGAAGTGCCGGTCTGTGCGCTCCATGTCCTCCGGCCCCGGCAGTGCTCAGGCACCTCCCTGAAGCATCGAGAGAATCTGAGCCTCTTCAGATTCCAAGCCATTGGCGCCTCCACACAGCACCGGCGGTCACTAGTGGTGGCGCTGTACTTTATTCTGCGATGTCTCTGTGATTGTAGATGCCCGAAAGCCTCAAACTTGCGTCTGTGCTTTGGCTGTGCGCCGGGCTAGCAGTAGCACGCAGATGCAAGACACAGCACCCAACCCTCCAAATCATCATCTAGGCAGCCAGTGGGTTTGCCTTTGCAAGCGTCTGGAACTTGCTCCACCCAGTACCTGAACATCCCAAGAACACCGCAAAGCAGATCTGTTCATTCTCTGCCGAGATGAGACTAAGACTGGGAAGCACCGAGTTCCGGCCAAGAAATTCACCTCATGTTATTCTCCCATTTTGACACAATGCAAATCTGGGGCACGAAGATGCGGCACTGGCTGCGCAGATCACAATGATCATCACAAACATTGCAGTGTTGGAGATGTCCAGCCACTGCGAGAAGAGCAGCTTGAGCCTTCATGTAAAGGGGCGGAGGAGGCAGCTACAGCGAAGTTGCATTACTGACAATTCCCAGTCACTGCCAGCAACATCATCACCATCATTATCATCGTCCCGCCATCTAGCAATAAGACACCGTTGGGCTTCCCGTCATGCCGCCATGATGCCCGATCAGTACCAGGACGGCGGCGATTCCGTACTTCAACATGTAGAACGTCTGCACCAGGGATTCCATAATAAAGTACAGTGACCTGGCAAGCGGTGGCTGCCAAGCCCCTGCCTGGAAAGGTCCAACTTGCAATTGCAAAACCACACCAGCAGTGCGCTACCAAAATCAAAGGCCCATTACGCAGGGCCCGAGTCTTTCGATGCCCTCCTGAATCTGATTGATCCATGCGGAACATGGACTGCTTTAGCACATCATCAGCACCAACAGCCGAAGCGCATCATAGGAAACCTAGATTCTCGGCCTGAGCCCCATCATTGCAAAGGCGGAGGAGGCGCAATTCAGGAACACGTCATTGACCTTTAGCTCTGCAGAGCTCCACGCATTCGGCGGTGTTTGCAAGTTTGTTGTCCTGCACTGCCAAGTGGCAGCTTCAATTTCGAACATCCCGACAAGCGGTTGGACGAAGCAATCGCTCCAAGTTCCAAGATGTGATTGCCATGATCGTATAAAGTGCGTAATCGGCCTTGTAGCAGCTACAGTAGCAGCCTGGAACTGTTTCAGACACAGATTTCCAGGAACGGGCAACGTAAATCGAGCCGTGCCTTCTCGTCTAGCCAAAGCTGGTTTGTGCTGCCAGTTACTGCTTATGCCTATGCCAATCTCCACCCTGGTGTGTATTCTCTGATGCAAGGACACTCCACTGGCCGAAGGACAAAACCCAAACCGTGCCAGGTGGTGCATGGTGGTGCTCTGTTCAGACCGCGGAAAAAGCATCTTAGAGACCTGCCGCCGCAAGCTTGGAGGCAACGGAGTCGATGGCAAAGATCTGAGTTCGTGCTACATGTGTGATGTTTAGTTTCGCAAAAGCTATTTATGGGTGAATGATCTTCAACAAACAGAGCTTTGCAGGCGTTTTACTACCCGTGCTGACTGTATCGGAATGCACAGAATGACACGAAACCGCCTGTGACCGGACTTGTCGATGGGAGCACTTCACAGCACGAGCCACGGCAGCGGGTCTCGTAACCCCGCTCGTGCTGGGACAGGGACCAAGTCGACAGCCAGGAGTGCAATCACCACCAGTAACAATAGCGATGCCTCTGCAGTCTGAGAAATTCCGAGAATTCCAACCCATGGGTGGCTGCACCTTCTGGCGTACACGCGGGGCCCGAAAAAGTTCTGAGCCTGAAAGACTGGCAAATGCTCGGTGTATCCTTCCACGATCTCTCTAACTCTGTCCATCTGCGGGTCTAATGTTTTTCACAAAGGACATAGGACAAGGCATGTTGAGGCGCCTTCACGAGGATTGCTGGGCCGTCCTCTGTCCTGCGTCCAGTTGATACTCTCGCCGATAACCTACGTGGCAGCCATCTCTTAGAGGTACAACTGCCGGAGAAAAGTCGTCTCATCCCAACTATGGTGACGTGTGGCTCCCGGTCTCGCTGCAGAGAGCAACAGGTGAGTGCTCATGCATGCGAAGCCGTTGGCGGTGGACTCAAGTCCTCTGGAGCTCGCAGAAGGCTGCTTCCCTGCTTCGGGAACACTTGCGACTCAGGACTCTTCCAAGTGCGACAGTCTAAATGGAGAGCGACCGGCCTCAAACGATTCCAACCGGGGAAGGGAGTTGAAAGCCTCCCGTGGCAGCCGGTCAGGATCTTGCACAGCTGTTGCAGACCATTCCAGGGCGGCGGCTGCATCTGTGTCTGTGGCCAACAAACCCTGAGCGAAGCTGAGCATCGCCGTGCAGCTGGCCCTTCCCATCCCCCTTACTGCCAAGGCCAGCCTCAAGGGATGGGCTTCGCCCACGATCTGACATGTCGTCGCGGACGGTCTCCTGCCATCCACCAGCATCGCTGAGGATCGGCGTTCTGAGCAACTGGAGAAAAGCAGTGTGGGGATGTTTTACCATGTTCAACAAAGCAGCCATCAGTGTCTATCTGAAACATCCGATCTGTCCATCCGCCTGTCTTTCTTTTGTTATTTCTCCTTTTTTGCTCACTTCTATCTACAAGTACTGTCTAGGATAATTCCATCATGTCCTCATCAACGAAGAAGAAGTGTCCATGCGGCTCGTAGTGGTCGCCTGCCATATTATCCGTCAAGCTGGCAAGGCGAGATCTCCTCTTCACTCAAAAACTTGTCAGGCTCTCTGATCGGCAGAACCTGAGCGAGGCGTTCGCATCTGCTCGGGACTTTGATCCAGATGGACTGAGACAGCAGACCTTTGCTGCCAGTGCGACCTCAACAGCAAGAGTGGTTCGGGCGCAACAGCCAAGCCGAAAGCCTGGGGCTGAGAGGTCTGAGGTCTTCTCCAACTGATTCTTGCTGGGATCAGTTTCCTTCCATACCCATCGACTATCCACAGACATAGGCATCGCAACTATCATCGGCAACGACGAGTCTCCTCCTCTACATCTGCTGCCGTCTTTAAGCCGCTGTAGACAAGGACCAGACCTTCGTTCAATTGCTCTGCAATTCTATTGCCACCAGGTGCGAGCTTAGTCCGCAGCAACCGACATGCGTCGATAGGCTAAACGCTAACTAGAAAACTGGGCAGTGCTGCTGCCGCACCGAAACTGACTCGGGACTGGTGTTCTGCAAGGCACCAAAGATGAGCTTCACCACGACCAATCTGTTCAGCACGGTGTAGCCAACCGAGAGAAACACCACCTCACAGAACGGGCCCGTAGAACTGCCAACAAGAGCCGCCAGCACGGAAAGTAGGGCACGGCACCCGCAGGACGATGGCACCAGCGATGCCAAAGTACAGGGCTCGGTACATCAAATCCTGCGCAGCAAGGCACGGCACACCTTTGAAGCCTGGGCTCTTGCTGCTTTGACCCGTGCCTCCGGAGTGCAATAGTACGAAAATACCAAGTGGAACACCTGTAGCTGCAGCGTGCTAGGCCAGGTTTCCGCTGGGATAGCAGAGACCAGGGTGCGCACGAAAAGGTTGTCAAAACTCAGCATGTACCTGAAGAAGGTATTAGCTTGGGTGGACAAGCCCAGAGGCCTGTTGATGGTTCTTACTCCGCACCGTAGCTTCGGAAGCAGCCGTTCAACTCGGGATGTGCATTCCATGCCATGAAGTAGGATAGCTTTTAGGATAGGTTTAGATGCTGGCAAATCAAGAGCGTGGTGCGATGGCTGTTCACTCGACACTAAGAATGCAATGCTGCGGCGTGGCTGAGCATCAGTTTGCACAAAGAGTGTGCGAGGCCTAGGCATCCGATATCTAGTGACTACAGGCCACCTACCCTGCAAAGAACGGTCACCTCAACAGACGTCCAGACATTCATATTCTTCTTTATTATTGAGGGTGATGGGCTTGGAATCCGAATCGCATCCTCTGCCACATCCAACCAAAATTAACCAAAACACTCCGAAGCACTGACAGTGGCCAGTTCCGTGACAAGCATCCAAGCATCCTGGAGACCGCCACATACGGTAACTCTATGGATCGGTTGAGGCTACTCCCTGCAGGACAGCTACTGTGACCCTCCTGAACTGTGCAGTGCCAGGACACTCAAGGAGGAAGCCTTGCATAAAGCCCGAGCTTGCTTCCCAGCCGGAGTGGCCTTGGAGCCGCAACTTTGCGCACAGCCAGCGATCAATTTCTGCATGCAGCGCTGGAAGCTCTCGCAGTCCTCATCTGGGCTCCCCGACCAAGCAGGAATAAATCGAACAGCAAGCCCACGCAGAACCAGAATGCTGTCAGCTGCCCCTGTCTGGCAAATGAATCAAAACTTATTGTAAATCCAGTTGCGACGGTCGTGCCACAATGCCCCTTCAGCGTCCTCCATCTTGTACTGCTATATCGCGACACGGACCCTCTCGCAATAGCTGCAATATATGATTCGCTGAGGCCCCGGCCGCCGTCTGAACTGACAGAGCTCCAACCCTGGGAGGGGAGAAACTTACCTCGCAAGTTAAACGCGAGGCTCTGGCTCTCAGCCACTCAACTTGCATAGCTCTGCCTGGGTCAAGTTCTGAGCCGCTTGCATCCAAAGCGAGCGCCACCACCAGAGTCAATCCGAGCAACGTCCAGCAGAAGATGTCTGCCTCTGTCTCTGATTGGGCTAACTCAGATTTCAATTTTTTTTTTGGCACTCACTCTCGACAAAGCAGGCGAGGCTCCAGTCCGGTTTCAACTACAGCCTTCGGGCATTCTGGACAGTTTTCTGCAATGTGTCATGAACCGGGTTGGCAGCTGCTTCATGCCTGCTGTGGTAGATGGCATATGCCCGAGTCAAAGCTGGGCCTCCATGATATGTGCCATTCGGCACTTGATTGAGCTCCAACCAGCCCTCGCCAACCGGCGTGTTTGGGCTACTGAACCGTGGCTGCTGCGAAACAGACACCTGCATCCAGCCGACTCTGGTCGCACAAGTTTGCGTTCTCAAGCATGTCACACCCCATACTTTTTCCCCAAGGCAGACGCCCTTGAAGCAAGCTGCTCGCGCGACCCATCTGCACTTAGAGCCTAGTTTGATGCGCTGTTGGTTCTGAAACGAATAGTACTGTCAATGATCACTTTAGCCAGGAGTTTGGCCAAAACACTTCCATGATCTATGGCTCAGCGGTCTAGGCGACCACTTGCGAATTCGAAAGCAACGCCTCCCCAACGGGTTTCCCAAATTGGGACAAGCCTGCTTCGCTAGTGAAACGAAGCTTGCACATTGCTGCAAGGGACCTTTGAGATCTAAGTTCCACGCTGGATTCCACATCCGCACTACAACACAGCTCCGCGAAGATGAATACATGCATCCGATTTCAACATTTGTTCGGGCAAGCTGCCTCGCCTTAGCATATTCAGCCGCGCGCTGTGTTTCTATGGACCCAAGCGGGCCCAGCGTTACTTGACACTCTATCAGCTTTGATTCGAGGGCCCGAAACTAGGATTCTGACAATAGCCAGGCTTTCTCTGGGCTCTGGGCTGCTTTACAGATCACCATCGACTCATCTGTCGAGTATCCATTCAATCGTCCCCAGCTGAAGTTGCCTGTTCGATATGCGCAGATGCCTACATTGCCTACATGAATTCTAGCATCGTGTGCGTTCTAGGCCCGCTATCGCATCCGTGACTCGTGATGATGCCAAAGTCAAAACTGCTTGCAAGGTTGTGCGACTCGCGGACGTTAGAAAAGCAAGCTCCCCTCCTCGCTGGGTGATGCCGCAGCAGGCCTGAGAACATCGTGGGGGGGAGGCCAGCAATCAAATCATATTGCCCATGCTTGCCGCTAGCTCGAAACCAGCATGCTAGCTGGCTGGTGAGCGGGTGAGTGTTCCGCAGTAACAGTTGCGTCCGAGGTACACATCCGAGGAGCCCTCCTTAGCCAATGCCGTCTAGACAGCAGCTGATCATCTTGCTCGTCTGCAAAGCGACACCTGTGCCTGAGGTGCAGGCGTCGGCCAATCGTCGCAAGGCCGATGCGGCAGCGGCATTCACGTCTCCGCAACCTTTGAGCTCTTCGAAGAAGAACCTGCAACGTGCACGCAGAAAATCAAATCCCAAACAAGCATATGTCCATCGGTACTGGTTGCAGATTGAAGCAACATGTCGGCACACAGGCTCGTTGACGATGACAAGGACGTATGGGCAGTGGAGTTGGTCCAGCTGCGACACTTCGGCAGGGGTCTTGGAGTGATTGTCGGGTGTCTTTTCCACAGAGATCCTCTCAGCAAAGACGGGCTTCGCAGTTAGTGTCCACGATCAATCAACGCCCGGAAGCGCCGAGCACCGGGCTCATTCGTATCTGGGGGTGGATGTATCTATATGGTCCCTCGCCGCGTCACTGCCCCCCCCCCCATCCTTCCGCCCCATGGTATATCATGCCCCCCCGGCCCCGCCTCCCACAGCACAACTGCCAAGCCAGGTCCCTCATCCGAGCAAACAGTCACAGGAATGGTGCTTCTCGCAACCCCCTCCCCACACAGATGAGAATGATGGCGATGATGCTGAGGACAATGACGTTGATGTGCTTCTTGCATGCTGGTATTCCGAGTGTGACTGGTGGTAGCGCAACTGCTCTTATGCTGGTCTGCCCTTAGGTACCGCATGTTATGTACTTATATATGGTTGAAAGCATGTTTGGCTTGCTGTTCTTTCGTAGATTTTCGTAGTAGTTTGTATCGACCGTTGTTTCGGTTGGGTGCGTTAAAAGTCAGCCCGAGCATGTGCTTGATTGACTTTCATTCAGGACTCTTGAACAAGGGACCGGAGGAGCGTGCGGGCGGGGATCGAGATCACCATCTTCGAGGGAGGGACAGGGGGGCACACCACAGGGAACCGCAGGGGTAGGAGGGGATACCATGAGACCTGGGGGAAGGGGGGGCCTGGCAGCGCTGCACTATAGAAAGTGCTCCTGTAGTGAGGCTCGAAACACCGAATCTCGTGCCTTTGCAGGGATGCGACTGCCTGTGCTTTGCAGCGAGTCTCGGGTGGCTCCTGCAGGCAGCCCAAAGAGAAGGAACAAATTTTGCAAACTGGCAAGTTCAAAGGCTAGTACTTGCCGTCTCCGCCTGAGTGGTGGCCGGCGGGGGGCCTCTACCAACGAAGCACAAGCAGCGGACGGTACCCGAAATCAAACACAAGACGTCAAGCCGAGTGGTCACTGTCACAGTCTTGTGAAGGGCAGGCCTGCTAGCTCGGCAGCAAGTGCCTTGCCGTCTCTGCCTGATGTACAGAAAGAGGAGGATTCTTGAGACAGCTTCCCAAGCTTGAGAAATTTGGCGAACAGTAGTCTTCACCTCTCGTGTTCTATGCAATGCACGTCCTGTCGTGTTGAAGCTGCGAAACTGCGCACATTCTGAGCAATAGATGAAAACATGAGGCCACCACGCTGTTCTCTTCCAAGCACCTGTGTCGGCTCATGACATGGCGTTGATTTGCTGAAGGGGCCTTCTAAAACAGAATCACCTTCCACTAGCTGCTGCACCCTACAAAGCAACAAAGCCTCACACTCTTCGGCTCTGGACCCCAGCTGTGTACACGACTCGATGAGGGGTCTGTTTTCTCTCTGGTGGCTCGAAATGCCAGGCCGGCGAGCATTGCCGGAGCATCTGCGATGATGGTAGAGATCGTTTTACAGGGCTTCCAAATAGCTTGGGGCCGTGTAATCCAACGTCAGCATCAGTGAAGATCACATGCCTGCAATGGCAAACCGTAGCGTTACCAGAACCTTTGCAGGGTACAGCTGGGCTGCCTGCTTGAATTCAATTTCCAGAACCGAGTCAAAGTGTGCTAGCTTGCCTTGTTGTTTGCATTTGCGGTCTGCATTTTGTTTGGCTCTTTTTCATTGCATGTATGTTGGTCTTGCATTTGGCGCTTGCATTATTCTTGTGTCTTGCGAGAAGCAATCAATCAAGCATGCAACAAAAGATACAGCAAACGCAGGATGACAAAAAATGCAACCAACACGCACAGCAAACGCTGCATGCAAAAAAGAGACAAAATTACAAAGCAGAAAGACTCCCTCCTCCACGCCCCGGCCCACTGGCACCGGCCGACTGCCGCCTCGTCCCGTGTCGTAGGGGACGCCACGACCCGAATGCAAAAAGGAACACCGGGAACAGAAAACACATGCAAACACACAACGCACAAAAAACGCAATAATAAAACAAGCAAGCCCGAAACGTAAAGAACGTGCAGACTCCAAAACACCAAAAAATGCAAAGCAAAAAACACACACACACACACACACACACGGAACACAAAAAACAAAATCAAACTCCAAATAAACACAAATCCGGAACACAAAAAAAGCTGAATTTCTAAATATACGCAAACCATGGTTCTGAACACCTACCCAGCCTGCGGTCCAGAGATTCTTATAAGCGTAGCTTTGATTGATATTGTCACGAGGGAATCAGATCACATCTTGGCTTTTTTCTACTGCAAGATGGAGAACGTCAGACATCTCTGTCTTAACGAAATTGATTAATGAGTGTATTGGTGAGCGCCGGAGTGAACACGCGTTGCTCTGCTCAAAGCGACCTGGATGGAAGGCTTCCGGAAAGGCTCCTTGTCGAGCTTGCCAAAGGATGCCAGGCGATCACCTTGCTCGGACATGAACTCGTCGTGCTGCAACGACAGGATTTGAAGCTTTGCCACACACCCTGCGCATGTCGAAGCGGGTCTAGGCGGTGAGGCTCTTGACCTGGGAAGAAAGCATGTGCTCGCCACGCCAACGTGAATTTCAGACCTCGTTTCTTCCCACGTGTCCAGCATCTCTAAGGCTTGGGCGTCTGCGCGCCACGACGCCCGTTGACAACACGCTCTGGGGCTGCGATCTATGGCCCTGCAGCGAACAAAACTTGAAGCCCCCAAGTCAGTAACACGAATTCCCAGTCCTCTGGCGAAGCGGGTCGTTCGGTCAAGGGTGGCAAGCGTTTCCGCTCAGACCTGGGCCGACATGTTTGCTTTCTTGTGCATGCACATCTGCAAAGCCTGCCCTTCGCAGTTTTGCGAAGTGCACCCGGCGTGCACTCCTGCACTTCTTGTGCCTCTATAACGCCTTTTGTGATCTCAGTGCTCGCTCTAAAATGATTGCGACGATGATTGTGGAAGGCTCTTTCGTTGTCGTCTCCCACCCCTTTGTCGGTGGCCTTGAGGTTTCTTCCAATCCAGATCTTGGGCTTTGTGGTGACACCCTCGCATGTGTGAAGTTTGAGCATTGTCAGCCGGTTCGTGTCGCATATCCGAATCTTGGGACAGAAACTTTCACCAGTGACGGCAGTTACCCCGTGCTTCTGAGAGCAGTTGGGACGATGTCTGGGCTGCTGACCATGACCGCATTGGGACACTAGCCCGCCCGCTACTGGAACGGCACGTGCTCAAGCCGCAGGATGCGGGAGTCATCAAGTGGAGACCGTGCTGCCACTCCAACTTTGGACATCCATTAATCTATCCTGATGCCCCTTCCCAACCCCAAGGCCCTCAAAAGATAGCTCGGACACTCATCGTTTTTTGGCCGCGCTCTCTAGAGGCTGACTTGCAAGATGGCCTCGCAGGCCGGAGCCACCTGGCAAGTGGGAATGCCCTGCTAGGCATTACCCTCAACAGAAGCAGGGTTAGTACCGTAGCCGTAGCCTTCAACCTGACCTTGAATCCGCGGTGCAAACTGGCATACATTTCAGCACAGGACACATATGCTTCACGAAGCTGTGCTGGCTGTCCATGACAGGGCGCAGCCGGGAAACATGCAAGTTCTGCCTCGTCAAAGTCTGTGCCAGATCGCTTCCAAGAGCTGTCTAGAACACGATTGCCTTTACAGGGCAGATAGACCTGCTTTGTGGACCTGTGCCTGTCATGTCTCACAGTGTTGCCAGGCTTCTCTCTGCTTGCCTAGCACATGCTGCCAATCACGAGACGGCGGCGCTACATCATAAGCTTAGGCTTTGACAAAACACAACGGTACTTCTACAAACATGGAATGTGCTAGTGTAGAATCAATGACACATGGCGAAGGTTCCCAGCAGCTAGCCTGGAGTATGAGAATTGATGGAGCACGTCAGAAAGATCTGCGTGTCATCCGCAGCAGCTATAGTTCTCGCGGGAAGGCCCCGGAAACCCCATTGTGGCTGTATGCTGCCCTCATCTTCCTCCCAAAAGCCAAGCCGACCATCTGCAGCAATGCTCAGCACACCTGTGCTCAGATTTTGGAGAAAGCGCCTCAGTGCGCACAAGACATCCACACTCGCACCTCATTCCCCTCACACTGGGTCAATGTGTGTCAATGCAACATTTTATTATGCGATTGTGCGATGTATGTGAAGTCACTCGCTGTTCAAAGGTGCTTCTACGTATTCCTCTGCACAGCCGGATGACACTTCGTGCACTGACATTTCGATGGATGTCCTGACAAGCCTTTCGGGCCTTTCGACCGGGCCTGTAATGCTGGGATATGCTGCGTGTCAGAGCTTGCTCGGCAGTCGGGCATCAACACTGCGGTCGTTCGCTACCGTACTAGATACAAACCCGCCAGATCTTGCCTACCCAAACAAATTGATTGAAGCCCACCCAAACTGTTCCGACATCAGGCCAAGATATGCCAAGCATCACCTGGTCAGTATGAAAAGCAGCCATCTCCAGCGACGTTCCGTCTTCCAGTGTCTGGACCATGCGGCCATCGACATGTCCCAGAATTAGGGAGCCACTTGCAGGACCGCATGCCTTAATCTGTGGTGGCTGAGCCCAACATCCGAGACATCCGGTGATGCTCGGCAGCCAAAGCACGCATTTGGTAGTCTATCGTAACGTATTGAGATACCCGATTTGACAGCTGAAAAAATAAGATGAAATTACTCCACATCATTCCGAGTCTCCAATGCCGTCACTGGCCCATCGGACTTGAACACCTCCTCTGGATCGGAACCACCAGATATCCTGAGCACTGACCCGTCCTGGCATCAACATCTGCGTGTTCATGCTGCAGCTGGATGTACATGTCAATGTACCTATGCCAGGGTGCGAAACGTGAAATGCAGGCAAAAGCAAAACACACATGCATCTTCCTTGGGGCATCGAATGGCGTTGGCCAATTAAGACGCTACGCCTGTGGTTGCTGATGCAGCCTTCACACACCGTTTCGAGTTTTCCCTTGCAGGTTAGCCCAGATTGAAACACTCACTTCAGCCATGCTTTTCCAAAGCTACCGCGCGCCGCTCGAAGCCAACACATCTGATGCAGAAACCAGAGGCCTACTTGAGACACTGCCTCAGAAAGCTGCTTGAAGGGATTGATTAACACTGGGTGTGGCTCGCCGCTGCATGTGGAAAGGAGGAAGGCCGGAAAGAAGAAAGGGAACATAGAGAGGGCAAGTTTTCCCGGCACCCTGCAATGCTGGAATTTTCTTGGACCATCTGCATGCTGGAAAAATCTGCAATCACCGAAGGGAAAGCAGGTCATGTGTCAGAGCGAGTTATTGAAAGGCATCCAAGAGCTGTTATTTATTGCATGGTATGCGACCTCCGCGGCCACGCTCGCCATGCAGGTGAGCTTGTTATAGCTTGTTCATAAGCACCATTACATCTTGGGAACCAAGGTCGTCATCACCATCACAGCCATTAGTGTTTGCCTTCTGCCGGCTAGACAGAGCCTTGCTAAACGTCGGGATTTGCCTCTCCCCCCGATGGTAAAGAACCTAGCAAGGCTTCAGCTTCATGTTGCGCCGCAATGTCCGAAATCAACACAATCCAAGCAAACCGCAGCCCAATGCAGTGTGTATTCCTGCCTCGCAGCCAGCGTATATGGCCCCTTGTCCCGATGCGAGGCAAAGCACAGGCTTGCCGCAGGTGGTTTCTGCTCCTCCGCTTGCACGACGCCGCGGAAGGTGTAAGGGTAGAAGAGTCACATGCTGATTCGGCTGATTCATGCTTGGCGAGCGGCTCTCAAGGTTGATGGTGTCGTTCGCTATGTCAGCAACGTTCCAAAAGTGGATCGTCCCGTCCGCAGTACTGCTGGCCAGCAAGCCCTCCGTCTCCACAAGGCCTTCGACGAGAGCAGGACCGGTCGAACCGTGCCGCAAGAGTTTGGGGCGAGGCATGCTTCTGGAAATAAAGAATCAGTTTGTGTCTTCCTTAGCTCTTGCTGCTTCTGAGCTCTGCGACAAGAGGCCGGTGATTGGCTGTCCTTGCTGGCTGTGGCAGTTGAAAGCCAAGGTTTCAGTGGTAACACCGCATCCTTGCCAGCACGGAGCACGGACATGCGAGTTGCTGCTGAGACTTTGCACCGCTCATCGCCACTTACTTTGCCGAGGAGCTCCAGCCCACAAGTTTGCCGTCGGATCTCCCAGCAACGACAAGCCTCTGCCCATCAGCGAACCCGGACCAAAGCTCCTTCGTCTCGTGGGGCATGTGTGAGCCCTCGGCAAACCTGACATCAAAACACACACTGTCCCCCCAAATGGATGCAGAGGAACTCGCTTCCGGTTGCGGTACGATGCAGTACGCCTCCCTTCTGTGATGTGCTGTGACTTTCCCATCCTATTTGTGCAGACCCTGCCACAGGACCCGAGTCAAGCCAGGTCAACAGAAGAGAACCTGCTGGGAAACTGCTTGGTGCAAGCCACTCCCCAGCATGACCGCCGCTGGAGACATCCATAGCTCTCACGCGACCAGCAGCACCAACAAAAAGTGTCTCGTCCGACAGTGACAAGGCCTGGATGCCACTGGCCTGAGCAAAAGCAAGCAAGCTGTTGTTGCTTTTCATTCGTGGCCATGTTGAAATTACGCCATGAACCAAACCAGCCTCATAGCCCACTACACGCAGCTTCTTTGGCTCAGTAGAAGCGGGACCGATGTGGAACACGGAGGTCTCCCAGTGCCTCTCCAAGAGCAGATCATGAGCTGTGTCAAATTGCTAAACCTTGATCCGGCATGCTTCGGGCTGTCCCCTGCTCGCATCTGAAGAATGGCAGACACAGGTTGTGGTGCCATGTGTACGATAGCTCCCGATAGCAGCGACCGTCGACAGGTTCCTATGCTGCCATGAAAAGTCGCACAAGAGCGCTGTGCTGCGGGTCACCCTCGGCTTTCTTTCACACACTCTCAACCAATTAGCTTGATGGTTAAGCGAGTTTAAGGCTCTCAAGACAAATGCGAAAATCAGATGCCAGCAGCTGTTAGCAAAACAAGCGGCTGGCAAGATCGTGATTGTGATGACATGAGACATGGAACATCATGAAACTCAGTGCTCACCCTGCTAAACGCGTCTCGACCACAAAAGCAATCGGACAATCACCTCTTGACAGGAAACCTGCTCTTCCTCCTCAAGCTTCCATGCCATCCGCTTCCTACCGAGTCTGAAACCCCTCCGCAAAGAGTGCACGGTTCTTCGCCCCAAAATACAAACTCCAATTGCAACCGGTGCAACCTTGGCCTAGATGCCAGTACGCAGATCTAGGCAACTTTGTTCTGGGACTCGTCTGTCAGCTGTGGTTGATTTTCAAAGAGTCTCCCCATACCGTCAAGGATTGGTCGGAAGGGCTTCGCAGAGTGATACAAGTCACACTTCCTCCTCCAAGCATGCTGGACACCTGCTCTGCTTCCACACGGTCTCCTAATAATCACATACCTTCCATTTGCAAATTTAGAGGAGGTACACTATCCCGAGTAATTCGCTCTGACAAATGTAGCACCGCCGCCTTCCATCGTCCGGTCGAGTCGTCCGGGGTGGTGCAAAGCTCCGAGAAGCTGCCGGACGAGCCAATCGTGTGCGTCGCCGCGTTTGCCGGGCCGAAGCAGCCAGCCCCAGAGAGCTCAAGGCAAGGCCGCTAGTGCATCCGACGGAATAGGCTTGCAGAGGCTGATATCGAGGATGCTGAAAGCTATGCGCAGCAGCGCGGGCCCCAGCCGTTAAGGCATCCGCACGGCGAGCCTCTAAGTTTGGCAGGGGCAGCACAAACGCTGCAGCAGCGTCCACGGTCATGACTCTTGTATTCCGAACGACACTCTTGAATTTTGCTGTGTTTTTTTGTTGGGGAGATGTTCTTCTTCAGGGCCCAGCTTGATGAAGAAGGAGCTGGCTTGGATTGATACAGTGCATTCAAACGGTGTCCAGTCGCGGCACGCACACAGGTGTAACATGGTGCAAAAGGGTCCATACGTTGACCTGGCATGATCATT